TAGTTCAACACAATAGCTTTTTGAAGGTGTTAGATTTTACTTTACCGTGTCTCGCAGGTATGTTAGTCTTGTTTGGAAATTGATGATAACTTATTCCATCACTTTGTGTTTTATGATATAATTTCGACAGGCAGAGTAAACAAGACGAGCGGTGCTTCTTAATGTGAGATTTAGGATCCTTGCTATTATATGTATAAATTATAAAGTTGATGTATTTCGAACGCGACCGTTTTTCAGATATCTTGATGCCCTTTGAGGTGTGTGATCTCTGCCAAACTCAAGACATGCATTTCTTTCATTTAGTTTCAGTGATGGCCTCCGACGCAAATAAAGTTAACAAAAATTTAGAGAGAATTCAAGATAATTCACTGAATTGAAGATTAAGAAAGTCCCAAAATACTTTTGTGGGGATGTAAACTTATTTTTGAAAATCTTTAAAAAATGAATCATAATTGTTAAAAGTATTTCTACAATGTATTGATTGGTTGCTTTCAATGAAAATTATTTAATTAATTTGGACATTTTTCAATATGGTGAAATTTAAAAAAAATTAACTCAACCATTTTGATATCGACCAATCATAATCAAGTGTTTCTCTAAATGCAATTTTTGAAGTAAACCAATGAAAATCAAGCATATTTAGAAGTTAACTAATTTTCATTTCTCAAACGTTTTTTGTAATTGTTCTGATCTGAGAATTCATCGAACTTAAAATTCTTTGTAATAAATACATGATTTTACCTGATCTGTTGCAGCGTGTTAAATTTTTGTTCAGAAGTGATTTCTTATTTTTTGATGTCTCGTAATCATCAGATTAGTTTAATTAACTATCACAGTGTGTCAACCATGGTAGATCTTATGATCTAATCAATCCTATCCGTGAATGCGCTGCTATATATGTCGAATATATTTTCTGTCAAAAGTTGTAAAAAGTGGCGTTTTTGTTAAAAAGTAAAAAAATCTAGTTTTTATCTAGACTTTTCCCACTGATAACAATTATTAATACCAATTTGTTTTAAGGCAAGTTGTAGCTAACATCGATCTCAAAAAATCTTCTTAACATGTCTCTTGCCTTGCACCGATCCATAACAGTGGTGTCCAGGTTGGAAACATGAATTGAATAACCCTAATAGTTAATTAAATTTTTCGAAAACCGAGGAAATGTCTTAGCCGACTGCTTTTCCTGGGCGAGAACGCTCAGAATAAATTCTATAAGGCTGCAGAGGGAAAGAATCCCGCAGATCTTCAAAGGTGGAGTGCAATCAATCAAGAAGTTGAGGAGTCTTGTTTCGCCAAGCAACCTCAGCGATATGATGTTCAGTGAGACGTACTTTATCATACGAAACTAGTGCAGATTCAGAGAAGATGTGGTGGTTGCTGAACGACGAAGAGGAAGAATTAGAAGAGGAAGGATTAGAAAGCTCTGACAACGGTACTAAATGTGTACTGTTTTTTGCATCAAATCTCATCGGGTGGCCGCCTCATGTGAAAATGCAAATGGACATAGGTGCTGACACAAGAGTGATATCGCCGAGCATCTGGGAGAAGCTTGGTAGACCTACTCTAGGTGGAACTGCTCGGACTCTAAAATCATGCGTTGGTCACAAACTCTTCTTCATAGGAACAGCAATTTCTGATCTGATATGAAATCGTCGAGAGGAAAATTTTGCCATCAATAAGCCAAACTCGAAACTACTAAAAACATTGTTTTGTGCAATTGAAATTCGAATCACCAAGTTACACGTGAACCACAAAAATTTCCAATCATTTTGTGGTTTGAAAAGCTTCTACGGACGAATGATTCAGATCTTTGCCACCATTATGCTCCCCCTCAATGACTTACGGAGTCAAGACCTCAGTCGCGCAACCGCACTCCCTGGACAAAGAAGTGACAGTGACCACCGATGCACAAGAAGAACATTCAGTGTTCTACGTTTCCAGGAAGCTATCATCAGCAGAGCCTAGAATAGAACGAGATACTTTGGCAATCGTGTTTGCGGCTACACGACTGAAACAGTCCGTACTGGGGCGCAAGCTTTCCCTACAAACCGATCACGAACCCTTGCAGCACTTCTTTGTGCCAGACGGAGAGAAACTGAAAACAGCGTTAGCTAGATCAACCAGAAAGGGTATTGCGGTGATGGGTTACTACAAGTTGAAGTATGTGTCAGGCGAGCAGATCCCACATGTGGCTGCTCTGGGCAGACTGCGCTTTAACGAAAAGACACCAGAAGAGGGGAAAATCGGTATCTTTCAAAAGGACATCTTTTTCGCAGACAATTAAGCTGAACGACCTTAAAACCTATCTTCAATCTAATAGGACATTCAAGACGTCTTCAAAGGCATTGGAGACAGTGCTCAAAAGCTGAATCACGCTGCAAGAAGGATGATGAAACATTGACTACACGAGAAGGCGTCATGTTATCTATAGAGGCGTTGTACATTTCATACCGCGAAGACTCAGAACAAAGTTATGGTCGATGCCCACCAGACGCACCCGGGAAGAAAGGCAAAAGAAATGTCTCTGAAAATGATTACCTGGTAGACTGGCATGTCACAAGACGTGAAACGACTTGTCTTAAGATGCTATATCTGTCAAAAAGCAGACAATCGCGTGGAAAAACAGTTTCCGAGTGACCAGAAGCAGAATTCATATGGATTGGGCACACATCAAAGAGCAAGGAAACATTCTGGTTGTTGATGACGCTGAAAATGGCTGGATCGAAGCTTTCCGGACCAATGACCGTTCAGGAAGTGTCTATCAGCAATCTGCAAGATCTGGAGTACCAAAAACTCTAGTCTCTGACAACGGACCCAAATTTGTGAGCGAAGACTTCAAAGCCTGATTCAAACCTTAGGCAATTAACCGAGTGTCATCATCAATCTACCGCGTAAGAGCAAATGGAATAGCAGAAAGAGTACTACTAAACATGCCATGCGTGGGGCAAAAATTTATCAGGCAATTTTTCCACAATAGAATTTGACGTATGTGAAAATTTCTCTTCAATTCGAATAAAGACATGGGAGCACTGCGTGCAACTTTCATCATTCGACGTTGAACCATCGCATCCCGGATCCAAACCAATAATCAGAATGGACTGTTAAGCAAGCGACAACCAGATTGCGAGATGCAGTCAAGAGATCAATACCACAGATGGAACTCGTGACACCATCGATGATGAAACTCCAGTGCAACATAAAACCATAAAACAACTTTCACTGACTTCAGAAAGTCAACCTGAACCGATCTCAGACGAACTCAAACTATCTACAAGACTCCGGAAGTCAACGAAACACTACGGAGATCTTATACCGACAGATCTTCTTAGAGAAGGAGAGAGGATGTGATATGAGAAATCATTGAAGGTGAAACTCTTTGTATGAAATTTAAATGAGAATAAATACCTGAAATTTTCTGATCTGTTGAAGCGTATTCAATTGGTTCAGAAGGGTTTCTAAGTTTTTGCTGCCTCTTCATTATCAGATGAGTTTAAGCAACTTCCACAATGTGTCCTTGTATAAGATGATATATGTTGAATGTGTTTTTGGTAAAAAGTAATCAAAAATCGGAACATGTGAGCAAAAAAAGTTTTTCCCTTATGTAAAATCTAGTTATTTTATTTACTTTTCCCAATGATAACAAGATAATTCTCAAAAAAATACAAGTGATTTCTTTTCTGATGAAAAAAAGTGGGTTCTTACTTATTTCATATTTTTGCTGGACGCCTTATAGAAAACATATAATAACAAGAATTTTTCTTTACCCAAAGAGAAAAGACTTTTAAAATTTTAGTATTACTTACTAGAAAATATCGAATTACAAATCTAAAAAATCACTTGATAAACTTTAAATTCCCGTTTTGGATATGGATTACTAAGTCTAGTGTAAGTTTTTCAATTTTGTCAGTTTTGAGATTTTTTCCTAAATATTTGCTGAGTTTTTCCTCGGTTACATTCAAAAACTCAAATAAATGGATAGGACGAGATAATGTTTTGAAATTCTACTCTTGATTATTTTTAAACTTTTCTTTTATATCTCCAATTTTTTTACCTTTCTGGAAAACAGGTTTTGGTCATTTATTTCTTTTTCAATGTATTTTGTTCTTTTTTGTTTTTAGAAACGATTTAAACTTTTTAAACGGTGAGATTTATAGTTCCGTATACAAATTTTTAAAAACAACTAAATATTTCTTTTTTAAGTTTTGCATTAAGTACAGTGAGTTGTTTCCTTGAAAGAAAGGGTGGTTTTTTTCTGATTTGGTATGACTAAAGTAAAAAATTTTCTGATGCGTTACTTTTCAGGAAAATCAATTATGATTGGGTTGATTCATATATCTATTGTATTTAACGCGTCCAGAAAACGGAATGTTTTGGACTGACTAACAGACTGGGATAAATCAGAATTTACTCCTAACAACAAATATAAAAGTAGCTTTAACATCAGGATCTTGACAACATTATCATGAAACAAGCTAGCGTGCGAGAAATATTCTATTCGAGTCCGCTTGTCTTCAATCCAATTAGAAGTGCCAATGGAGTTTGCTCCATAGGATTTAAAAAAGCATTGGCGATCTAAAATTATGTGTTTTTTTTAATGTTATTGGTAGCTAAATTTTTTTAGTGAAAATCAAGATCAAATGGCCTAGATGCAAGTACATGAGACTCCTAATCTCTAACTTGGGGTTGGATTCTTACTATGGCGAAAATTTGTTCCTTGTTTCATTTTTTAAAGCCAGTTTGGTGTTTTTCACTTGCGAAGTTCAGCTCTGCCTTTGTGCAATGCGCATTTTCGATTTCGGCTTACTTTTCTGTGCTTTCATGCGTATTTCTGATTCTGTATGTTTTCCAAAGGCGTCTTTGGTGCCAGTGTTTTGTAAACAATATTTAAACGTTTTTATGCAAGTGAGCGCAGCGAGATCAGTCGCAATTAATATGGCTCGCATATCAAAGGTTTCATTTTTGAGATTATATGAAATAAGGAGATTGAATGTTTGTGTCAGGCTTCCAAGTGGGAGGAGAAGAGTGGTATGTTGGAGCGGGAGTTGGGCCGACTGGTGCCGGAGCTGTCCAGTGTGCGGGGGGAGAATGAGAGACTGCGGGCAAGTGTGGCCCAGCTGGAAACCAGTCAGATGCAGTCCAGACACTCTCTCACCTCAGAGTCGCAACTGCTGCAGGTAAAAACACAAATATAAATAGCTCAGCACCACGCGCACTCCTGAACACACACGTCCCATACTTCTTCTAGTTGACTAATAAGTATCCTAATAACCCTCTCTTGGATTCGAATAAAATGAGTTCACACAAGCTGGGCTTTATGTGATAGTACAGCGCACCTTAGTTTCCCAACCTAAGTGCTCTTGAAATTACCGGAAGAGCAGCCACTACAGGACTTTCTCTCATTGAAAATGTTATTCCTAGAAAAGTGGCCGCTTTACGCTTTATTCCCAGGGCTTAAAGCAGCCTTTTCCCAGAGAACTGGTTTGTCTTGGTATTAAGATGGAACTGCCGTCCCAATCCCGGAAAAAGGAGGAAGGTGGATGTCAGGAAGGGCATTTAGTCTAAAAGGACTGCGGTCTGAAAGTGCATTGTAAAGGGCAACGCTCCAAACAACCCAAAGAAAGTCATACAAACAATGGCCCTCAGTCCCGTGCGCCCTTTCAAAGGGGGGGTGCTAAGAATCGCACAGTTTCAACTACTTATACTTTTCTCTATAAGGCGAAGAGACCCACCCTATAAAGAAGTCCTTCCGAATAATGTTAGTTAATCGGCTAATTAGCTATTAATCTTTATTAGGATTCATTCCGATTCTGTAGAGTATGGGTGTATATTATTAGCTGCAATTCTGATATCCTAAAAAAAAGGTCTACCCGAAGATAATTCGTCCAGTTCGTTGATTTGTTTCCAATCTTTTGGCAGAATTTATCTCTAAAATTAGGCCAAGCAGTCCAAACTATGCCATTATGATATTTTCGGCAATGGAACTGCTCTAGAGTTCTAGGGTTAGCTTCTAGATGTCAATTTAAACCAAAATATAACTCGTGGAAATTGACGTGCGGTAAAGTCTATGAAGTTTTGGTTTCGGTTGTTTATCTCAAGTTATAAGTTGTTGGATAATGAAACGAAGATTTTGTAGTCGATCTGGGTAAGTTGTGTGGATAATGTAAGAGTGAAGTTTGATGTGTTGTTTGAGGAGTCTCTGACGAAGTTGCAGGCGGAACACAGCCAGTTGTTGGAAGAGTGGCGTGGCCAGAGCAATAGACTGGCGGAGCAGCAGCAGCTCCTGGCACAGTTGAGGGCCGAGGGGGAGGCTGGGAAGAAGAGGGAGGCAGAGTGGAGTGCGAGGGGGGAGGAGTGGGGCAGGAGAGATCAGCTGCTCACCCAACAGACTAACACACTCAAAGTGGAGGTGAGGCTCACTCTATTCACATACTACTTAAACACTATGCCAACAAGCTTGAGAACTCTAGGTGTAAAAGAAAGAAAGAGAAAGAAAGAAAGAATTTATTTTCTCGATTGGTAAAGACATTGACAAAATTAAAGTAATTTATCATTTATATACAATCAAGAGGGACAGCAAACGAGACCATGCGGTCTACCAACAGCTGCCCTTTAGTATAACATCAATGGTAAACAGCATTATGGAAGAAAATCAAATTTGAAAGAAAAAAAAAGTGAAAGAAAAGAAAGAGAAATTGCGAACATACAAAAGGCCATATTTTCTGCATTTTAATGGTGTGTGCGTGTGATCTCTAGTGAATTACACCTATAACCTGTCTCTCAACCATGAATATCAAAACATTTTTTTTTTAATCTAAAAATTTTCTAAGTTTTTTCTGAAAAAATTTTTACTGAGAAAAAATTCAAAAAATCACAAAAATCGTCATATCTCCTGAACTAAAAGGCTCCAGAGCATCATTTTTTTCGTCAAGAATCGCAATATATAGTTGGTGGTCTTGCAGCATTTACCCAAGGTATTCGTAATTAAACATTTTAAAAATTAAATACTAAAGATGTCAGCTCGTTGTTATTTAATAGGTATCCATTTTTGATTTCATGATTATAACATTTAACTTTTTCAATGTTCGCATTTTCGATATCATTTAGAAGTAAACCCCTTGTTCTGAGAATATTATAAAGCCTAGATCCCCGATACGCCAATGAGTGTTTTTCGAATAGTCTTTTCCTAAATGTTTCTTTTAGCATGTTTAGTTTTCCCCTACGGGTTTCGCGTAATGGATTTTCAAATTCAAATAAATTATTCAAAAAACTTTCGCTATGAAGTTTATTAATCGATCGCAGCACGAATTTCAGTAATGCATAGACATAGAGCTCATGGACTGTTAGTATTTGATGTTTAATGAAAATGTCTTCGGAGTGGTCCCTACGATTTCTGAAAAATATTAATTTTAGAATCTTTTTCTGAAGCATAAAAATCGGCAGCAAAAATGAGTAGCTGCAACAACCGTAGACCAGAATACCATATTGGATTGTTGTTGTGATGTTACTACGATAGTACTCTAAGAGCTAGGTGCGTAATAGCGTAGCTTGGAAATAATGCCCGATTGCTTGGCTAATCGCATTTTTACATTGTCTATATGCGAAACGAACGATAATTGGAGTCAATGTATACACCCAGATAATTAATCACTGGTTCTTTCTTAATGTTACAGTTATTTAATTGAAAGGTCATTGAATTGGAAGTCTTTAAATTCATTTGTACCGTTTTATCCATATTTATAATCAATTTATTTGCATTAAGCCAGTAGTTCAGTTTGATAATGTCCTCTTCAACCCGAAGATTTATTTGACCAATTGCTGTGACATTTGTATCATCGGCAAAAAGGACAATTTCTGTTGAATTGAATGCATGAGGTAGGTCATTAATATATATAAGAAATAGTAACGGACCTAAAATAGATCCTTGAGGGACACCACATTTAATAGTCGACCAGTTTGAAGAAATTCCCTTAATTTCTACACGTTGAATTCTTTCATTTAGATATGATCTAAACCATTTATGCGCATTTCCTCTGATACCGTATGATTCGAGTTTTTGTAACAGAATATTATGTTCTATTGTGTCGAAGGCTTTTTTTCAGATCAAAAAAGAAACTAATTATGCTTTTATTGCCATGGGAACGCATTTTTTCAGTAAAATCAACTAGTGTATCGACAGTACTGTGTTTTGATCGAAAACGAAACTGCGTACAATAAATTAATGAGAATTTGTCAAGATAATTATAAATTCTTGTGTACATGGCTCTCTCAAAGATTTTACTCCACACTATTAGGAGAGATATTGGTCTGTAATTGTTTTCTACAACTCTTGATCCACTTTTATGCATAGGGATAACTTTCGCTCTTTTTAATCTATCTGGAAAAACGCCCTGTATAAAGGAGTTGTTAATTAAAGAAGCTAAATAAGGAATGGTTGCTGATGCCGATAATTTAACTAATATGTTGTTTATGTTGTCGTCTCCCGATGAAGATTTATTATCAAGATTGTCGATGATTTTTTGCACTTCACATTCTGTAACAGGATATAGAAAAACCGACTGCTCAGCCTGATTAAGAGATGGCATTGGTAAGTAATCTAAAGTTTTCGTAAGCTCTGTGCCTATAGCTGAGAAGAAATTATTAAATCTCTCAGCAATATCAAATGTTGACGGAGCTTCCTTGTGCTGCAGACAGGATTCAAGCACTGGAACACTTGCATCTTTAGTATTTATTCCACTTTAATCATTGAGTAGTTTATATGTTTGTCTTGAGTCTCCTATACATGCTGTAAATTTCTTATTATAGTATTTTCTTTTCGCCGAATTAATTTCTTTTTCCAACTTAGATCTTAAGTTTTTAAAATTTTCTAATAATATCTGATTTATTGGATTACTTTTCCATAAACGGTGGGCTCTATTTTTTTTGGTGCGTAAGTTTTTCAACGTATTGTTGAACCACTTTGGTTTTTGGAACTCAGGTTTTCTGTTTATTCTCATGGGTGCAAAGTATGTTGTAATCTTGTTGAAAGCCGCAGAAAAACTGTTAAAGGATTCCGATGGATCAGTAGAATGACATATTTGTATATTATCACTCATCTCAGTATGTAAAGCGTTTATATACATATCTGATTTATGCTTGCTTTTAATAAATTGTAGGTCACGAAATAAACGATTTTCTCGGTTTATTAAATATGGAAGAGTCCATTGCAAGAGGATAGGGAAATGATCCGAGAAGTTTTGGTATTCGAGGACTTGGTGGTCCGTTTCGGTTAAATTTTTATAAATGAAATGATCTAGACATGTATTTGTTGTATCAGTAACTCTTGTTCCTTTGGTATCGCTAAGTTCAAACCCATTTGAAAAAATGCAATTCAGGTAGTTGTTAGATAGTTGATTAACTTTTGAAATGTCAATATTGAAATCGCCACAGATAACAAAGGGAATTGAGGGTGAGGAGTTATCTTCCAAAAATTTATCAAGTTGATCAACAAATGTTAATTTGTTTATTCTGGGAGGGTTGTATAATACGGCTATTTTAAACTGGTAGTTACTTTTTTCAATTGACAAGGGTGCATTCATCGATGCTCGTGGTAGTTTGTTTTAGGAGCTTGAAATCTTCACGTATTTGTATCATTACACCACCTCCACGGCTTTTTCTGTTACATGTTACAAACTTATTATAGCCATCAATGAGATAGCATTTACTGTCATCGTTTTCTGTTAGCCATGTTTCTGATAGACATAAAATAGAAGGAGGAGACTCAAGACTGTATACTAGTGCTTCCAATTCAATTAGATGACCTTTCAAAGAGCGAACGTTTATATGTAGCACTGAAATTTTAAGTTCCGGAGGGGGACTCCGATTGATAGATGAAAAGGTTCAATTTTTTTTGCTATTGGAAAAGATAAACGGACCACAGAAATGTTTTTGGGTGATTTTAAAACTACCAAAATTCTTGTGTTCGATATTGTAAGAAAGTCTTAAGTGGAGAGTTGGGAGTAATTTAGTTTTATGAACATATGGCTATTTGTCGAGTCATGGTTGTAGTGAGTTTTATTTTCAGGAAAAGTTTTAAAGTTTATTCAAGCTCTAATTTACTTTGATATTTTTTAAGTTCAACTCTGCGGATAGATTTTTATTGATGAAACACTGAAAAAGTAAAATAAGCAATCTTAATAAACTTTTTTGCCGAATTTTTGATAAAACGTTATTATTGGTTGGCGTTGGACTTGGACAGAAACCTACAATTCTAAATCGATTTCAGGAAGGAATTTTAAATTAGGTTATGGTTACCCCTCTAGCGAGCCATAAAGGCTTTTTCGAGAAAAATTTGTTTTTACAGAAGAAGCAGCTTTATTTCTCAAGAGTTAAAAATACACATTAGTAAAGATATACACAATTCATAACTCTGAGAGGACAGCCTGCGGACCCATTTGGGTTTCAGAAGACTGCCCTATTGCACGAACATGTTCATAAGACAATAATAATAACAAAATTAAGAGTGAATAAATTACAACCAATAGAATAGAAACAAGCCCTCAATTTCAATTCATCAGAATTATAATTTGAAAAAAGCAAATATCACTTACTACACAGGGTAGGTGCATTAAACCTTGCTAAAGGCTGAGGTTCATTGGAATATTCCTACGATTGATTGTATTATACTTTGATTCAATTTGGCTTTTAAAAAAATCAACTGAAAGATCAAATTAGGCCCAAAAACTTGTCGTAGGCCCCTGTAACCAGTTTCTTTTTATTTCTTCATCTTGTTTCGAGTAATAAACGTAACGAAGACTCTTGTTTAGTTCTGCTGATTTTTTTCTCAGGAAAAAGTTAAAATGTGCTTGAAAGTCTCTAATAACTACAGATGCAGATACAGATTTTGAGTTCAATTGAATTTCATCTGCTGAAATTGACGTAAATAGCACTCTCCAATTACGAACTTGGAATTGGCGTGAAAAAAAACCTTGAACGATTTCTAGTTCGAACGTGGAATTTAACTTTAAGATTTCCAGTGGAATAAAAACTTTACAGTTGATCCAGTTTTCTCAAGTTGGTTTATGTTATTAAAAAACGCCAATCATAAATCGTTCAAGAAGTTCAAAGAGCTTAAAGGCCATCTATTTTTTTGTTTTTGAAGTTCGAAAGTTGAGATTTTTTTAAACGAAGTCATTGTTTTTTTTTTACTTGTGTTCATTGCTCTTCTCGCGAATATTCGATTGGCTGTGTTTCTCTTAGCGGTTTCTGTGTCTACTAACTCTGTCATGTGCCTATAGCCTTCACCGTAGGAAATAGATTGAGGCTTTTTGACAGAGGAAACCTAACAGCCTATGCGGCAGTAACCAGTGAACAAGTCCAAGAAGGAATTCAGTTTGCGAAAAGCAAAACTGATTGCCGAAACCAATAAAGGCATTGTATTCACCTTATGGCTTAATTGATAGGGTTTTTATAAGTAACCTGAACTCACGCAAAGTCAGGTTGACTAGAATTCCAAGGATCACATCAGAAAATCTTGAAGTCGGAGATGATTCATGAGGTGACATAGGGGAGGGGGGATATCTATGCTCAAAAGCATTAACACAAAAAAAATTGGTCAAAAACCTACTGAACCTACTGGAAAATGAGTCGGCTCAGATCCTATTTGTTCAAAGATTTATTTTATGGGCTATAGATTGGATTTAAGAACGCGAAAAGGCAGGTGTAGAGTCAGGAAAAATATTGTTTTTTTTTTAGGTTAAAATGCGTTGCAACTTGATAAGTTAAAGATACATGTTTAAGTTTGATCTTAAATTTGAGAGTTTTCATCAAGTTTTTGGCAGCTCTTTTCCGCTTGTTTGTTGAGTCTTCGTACATGGGAAGGATATTGCGAAATGTTTTGCTGTGAAGGCCCGAAATTGATTGCGAACTAAAGTAGTTCGTAATTTGGTTCTTAGAGAATCTCTTTGAGTCTATATGGTTGCCTAATTACATAAAAGAATTGGAAATCTTAATCGTGTTTTTTTTCGCAAGTAGAACTGGAAGCATTTTTGGATGTAAAGTTAACTTGATACATTTTATCTAAGATGATTGAAAGTTTAGTGACGTTAAGCCAAGAGCTGGCAGCACCGAGATTACTGTTGAAATCTTCTAAAGAGCAGTTGTTACCTGGTAGCGTCCGCAATGAGGAATTTTGCTTGCATTTTATCCAGGCTGTCGGAAGAGCATTAGTATAGATGGGATATGGGATAAAGCCAAAGCCCTCGAGTGGTAACCTTGTGGTACGCCATGTTCAATTTTCAGCCAGCTGAATTGACAATTTTGTCTTTGTACCATTTGCTTTTGTTGTTTTAGATAGTATATGAGCCATTTTAGTGTATGATCCTCTATCCCATGCAATAGTGGCGCAAATGAGTATATACTTGCTTTGTCAATTAGTTTATTGTTCCGACTTTCGATACGAAAGTAACGGAATATTTGTGCTCGGGGTGGGTTTTTTTTCTTCAGACAAATTTCGACTTTTTAACTAGCCATTTTTGACGGAATTTTTTTTATATCATTCAAAAGGTATTGTTGTCCTGAGCTTAAATTTGAAAAGATATTTTTACCTGTGATCATTTTTCGTAAAGTTATGAGGGTTTAAAGGTTGCCATTTTGACCAATTTGGGACAATTAACGCGCGATATAATTCGAGCTATTAACGCGTAAGCGGAGATTTAATCCGTCTTAGAAATCGTTCCAAATTGGTTGAAAGAAGCTTATTTGCCAGAATTGGTTTGTTTCAAGGAACGAAATCTGTCCTTTTGTTCTTTATATGGCGTGTGGGGTGATGATTTTCATTAAAAAATTTCAAATGAAAAAAAAATTCATTTTATTTTTTTTCAATTAGTTTTTTGAAGTTATTACTGCTCCATAAACCTTAAAAGGCAGTCGGAACATTCAGGACTTCACCCTGATACGAGCAGTCTTGTTTATTTAGTCAATACCTGAGGATGCCTTGCTTTTCATTTTTAAGACGATCGATCTGTTACAGTTCTGTTACATCACTTTCAGATAAGTGCTTGGAGAAATTTGGTTCATCCATTGTAAAACAATGACTTACATTTGGTAGCAAAATGTGAGCGAAATTGAATAGTGATCCGAGCATGTTTAATAAATAAGAACTGAGACGTTAAGTAGGTTTTCTAAGTAGTTGATCAAAACCATTAGATCCAATTTTATCTAAATATTCAACTGAAAGGTTTGTTTTTACGTCAAATCAATGTTCAAGTCACGCACACTATCTCAGGAAATGACCATGAGGTTAGATTAATCAAATCTCTCTCCAGTTTTAACAGAGTTTATTCAATCTGGTGGATTAAACACCACGATAAGAATAAAGGTTGTTTCTTGATATTTCAACCAAACTGATTCACTGTCAATATCAGACGATAGTTCATCTATAAAACGTGATAGAATTCTAGTTCCTAAAGTAGATTTCATTGTTCAGATTTCACAGGAAGTTAAAAAAAAATAAGTTATGATCCATTTTTCTCAAATTTAGTTATTTTATTGAAATAGTGCCAATCGTAAATTCGTTTTGAAGTTTGAAGAGCATTAGAGCCATTTGTTTTAATTTTGAAATTCGAAAGTTTTCAAAAAAATGAGTCAGCTTTTGTTTTCTGTTTTCTTGAGTTCCAACTGTCTGCTAAAAAATTCTTTCAAGATTTTTCAGTCAGTCTTTTCAAAATCACCCTTCTTGGATTGTTTTTGCAGCTCTATTCAACTCTTCTTATTTATAATTGTTCTGATAGTGCATCCTTCGTGTTGATATATTGATATTGTGTATGTGTGTGTTTTACAGAAGGAGAACTTGCTGCGTGCTCTGAGTGAGGTGGAAGGCAGGTCAACAGAACACATGATGATGCAGGACCACCAGGTACCACTGCCACTACTCACTCTCTTCTCTTAATCACTATCACTTCCGCCTCCCTTTACACATGTTGTACTTATATGTGATGTGTGGTTTAGATTTCAGTCACCCAGGCAGAGTTCGACTGTTTGAAGGGGGAGTTGGAGGAGCTGAGGGAGAAGTACGAGAGTGCCAAGTACCACGTAAGCACAAGTAAAGTACTCCACTATCACTACCACTACACAACACAACACTCTCTCTCATTGGCAATGGCCACACAACATACACATACATATCGGTTGGGTCAGTTTAATCACTCGCTATCACACGGCTTCTCATGCAAAAGCATGAAACATAACAAAAAGAATGCTGCTACACGCATGTCACAACCACAAAACATGCTGTTAAGCAAGCAATTCAGTACGAACCTAACTCATACCACCCACCCGATCAGATGTCTGCTGGGCATGCCCCCACCCATATAATGTGTCCGAAACAACCCATACTTTACTTTACATCAGTTTGTATACGAGTACTTCACTTTTTCTCCAACCTAAATCGCAACTTGTGTTTTTACTCAAGCACGTGTTCTTTTCTTCTCTGAAATTAAGAGAATATTTTGTTTTACTGGGACAACGCGCAACAAAAAGCAAGCCTTGTAAAATTCAAGGAAAGCGACAACTCACAAGGTTTCAATTTCGTTTTAAGGTCGCAAGTGGGCATAACCAGTTCGTTTTTTTTAATCAATTCCCACCCTCGGTTGGCAATCTCGCAAGAAGTTGGCGCGACTGCGGAGTTGATTATATTGGAAGTTGTCTTTTGTTGCGAATGTTGTCCATGTGTATGATATCTGTGATAGTTGTCTGGATGTGATATTGATCGTAACATTCTGCAATTTGACTGTCTCGTTTTATTCAAGGGAGAAACTCTTCGCCTGGTGTGCAAGAACTTAGTAAGTGTCTCTTCTTCTTCGCCTCAATCAATGCATTTCATTCAAGCAGACCACTTCATTACTAGACATCACATTAGACATCCCATCAGTAGTTGCCTACATTCTATTTCCCACTCTGAGAAATCAAATATATTGTGTTCATAGAAATGGTCATAGGTAGAAGGAAGGAGTTTGCGATCAGACTATTCTTATGCCTTGTAAATTTTTCAAATTAAAGTTTGTGCCAATATTTTTTTTGACCAAAAGTGAAGGCGGCTGTTTTTTGATTTGTACGTTGTGTTATTTGTGGTCGCTGTGTTGCGTTACAATCGCACACTGTTTGTCTGTAATGCCACAAAATTAAAAATAATATTAAATTATTTTTATTTAAACAATCAAGTTTTTGCCTATCGTCCGTAGGTTAGTTTTGCTATTTTTGTTTTAAGTAATGTTGTGTATTAAATACTAATTTTTTCTTTTATTTGAAAAGTTTTTCTTTCTCTGAGAGGAGTATAATTTAGTCTCGATTAATATGCATCAGAAATGTGCTCTTTTTTCATCATTGCATGACATGTGTGTAATGGGTTGACTTGCTGGCTGATATATCAGTTCGCTTCATGTCTCCTACTCTGTTCTAGAGAAATTAATTCTTTTGTTTCTTTCGTTGTTTTTCTTGCCACATTCAAGCTTCTTTCTGCTCTCAAATCAATGTTCTTTTTCTGTTTGCAGTACCTGACCAAGTTAACAATCATGCAATCATTATCATATGGTTCGTTTTTGTTCATTCGATATGCTGATATTGTATGAAAAATGCAAATATATCTCTGATATTATATGAAAAATGCAAACATATCTCTTGAGAATTGGTTTGTCAAAAATATACTTTTGTATTTGGTTTTGTGTTAAACATTCGAAAAATCAGGACTGGACTATTTGCATTCGGTCTGCTTTGTATGTGGTTTGCGTTCGTGTGTTTTTAAAAAGCACGTTCACAACTTTACAACTCATTTGATAATAATAAATCTCTCGCAGTGGAGCACATTTGGCTATTGAAGTTAAAAAAAGTGGCGTTACAGTCGGGATAGAGCATACAGGATTAGATTGGGATATTGCATTTATCATCATTACTCTCATCACCGACCATCAATCCATCTTGACTGGGTGTGTGAGGAGAGATAGAGATAGAGATAATAAAGAGAAGAGAAGAGAGAGAGAGAGAGATGGATGGTAGAGATAGTGTGAAGAGTAAGGGGCTGCAGAGCTACGAGGCCTACCGCACCAGTCGCATCCACCAGCAGGACCACCTCAGTGCCCCCCTCAGAACCAGCACAGCCGCCACACCACCCCCACCCCACACCCACTCCTCCTACTCCCCTTCCCCCTCCCGGTCGCCCTCCTCCCGATCACCCTCCTCCCGATCCCGCTCCTCCCTCAGTCCCAGCAGAGTGAAGAACCAGGTCACTTTTGAGGTGCCCTACAGAGCCAAGGTATTAAAAAATAAGATAAACTTAAATTGCTAAATGAGAATCGTTTTTCTAGTGTGCGTCATATCGATGAGTTTTTATAAAATGCATATTAATTGAACAAAAGCAAAATTGAGGATATGGTTCAAATTTACATCAATAATAATCTATAAAAATTTAAATTGCTCCCGAGAGACCTTTTCATAGGTTGCCACTGATGGATCTTCCTTAAAAATAGATAAGAAATATTTTTTAAATTTAACTTTTATTGTTTTGAAAGTTAAACAATAGCTAATTAAACAAGAATAGCCGGTTATTGTGCAAGTAGCACAGAATGTTCCGATCACAGTCTTAAAAAAAATACAAACCATTTTTTTCAAATTGTTGTCGTTTTTTTTCTGCATGTGATAAAAAGATCTGAATGAAAACAAAGAACATAGGCATATTTCAGAGTCATAGTAAAATATGTCAATGGTAAAAGTTTGCGAAAAAAAACGTTTAAAAAAAGGAAAAATAATTGATATACTTCAAAATTATTTTCAAGTTTTTGATTTCCAAATTTGCACTAAAAACTCCAAAAACTACCTTTATTCACGGCTTAAATTATGCTTAAATATGCTCTAGAAAGTCTACAAGGTCACCTTATTAGCTCGAAATTAGACCAAACAAAATTTCAAACTGGTTTTTCTCAATACTGAAAAATTTTTCGAAATTTCTCAATGTGGTTCGAATCACGACTGAAAGGGCTTTAATATGATATATCACTCAACCCAGTCTGATGATTATTTAGAGTAGCTTATTTTGCGTGGAAAACAAAAGGAACCTGATTGCTTACTTTATTCGCTCGAATTCAGACAAAAAAAAAATCGAAAACTTCAAACAGGTTTTTCTCGACACTGGGAAATTTTGTTTGAAATTTTGTAATGTGGTTTGAATCTCAACTGAAAGGTTTTTAATATAATATATCACTCAACTCAGTCCGATGATCTTTTGTGTTAACTGATTTTGCTGGAAACAAAAAGATAGAAAAAAAACTAAAACACCGGAATACAAATTCCTCCCCATTTTCAATGGTCGGAACAATTATTCTGGTCTTAAATTTGATTGCGTATTAAAGCTGCACGTATAGAAAAGCTGTTTTTGATCCAATGACCGTTAAATCTTTCCTAGAAATATAATTTATTGGTTCTTTTGTTTTCTTCAATACGACTGTTTTCGTACTTGATTCTTCTATGCTGGTAAAGTATTGTGTTTTTTTTCCAGAGATGACATACTGAATTTCCAATCGAGAAACATTGATCGTGGTAGTTTTGTGATTCAGCTTTAGATCTGATGAAAAATCGAGTTTCTTACTATTGCAGCAGATCCTAATTGCCCAGCTAAGCTGATTTTTGAGTAATACTGTTAAATTTGTTGTTATTCCGCTTAAGAGTATTGATGCGTAGTGTAGATGTTTTAGTTTCCAAGGTGTTCATTGATAATATTCGAGTCTTGATGGGTAGAGGTTTTTTAATTGATTGCAGTGTTTTAATTGCGCTTGCAATTTTTCTCAAGATGTTATTTACTTCGCCCTGTAATTGTAGGATATTGATCAAGGATAACTCATAGATACTCTAATTTTAATTTTTCTCATTGTTTTATCAACTAGTTGTATACTCAGTTTTTTGCTCACTTCTATTTTGCCTCTTGCTGAAAACTGTCAGGTCAGTTTTAACTGTTTAGTTTCAGATAATTTGCTGTAAAATAATAAAAAAATTTGACAAGAATCCTGCAGATGCTGAAGAGCAAAATAAACATAATGAAGGTATCATTTGCATATTGCACTACTTTGCAATTTTCGGCTAATTGTTTGCTTAGATCATTTATGTAAAGGTTGAAAATTAAAAGTCCCAAGTCTGTACGTTGAGGCACACATATCCAGTCCGATTCTGTGTTATTCTCTTCTTTTGTTGCCTGCTATTGATAAAGTTTGCTGATAATATGAAAAGGCGATTCTGAGAAACCCAGATTATTCAAGTTTGAGAAACTTATGAGCAGTTGATTCAAAAGCTTTTGAAAGATCTAATAAGGCTATTTGTTTGTCCATACAATTTCAGAAGAATTCAGTACAGTATAGTTTTTCATCCAGAGTAGTGTATGGATGATCTAAAACCTTATTGTGTATTGATCAGTAAAAGTTTTGCTTAGTATTGTGTGTTGCTTATGTATAAGTCACTTATCTTTAGCAGCACTGTCTAATGCTCTCTTTTGCCAGCTGTATTTCATGAAAAACAATCGTATAATCCGAACTTGGTTCGCAAATCTGAAAAATGAGATGGAAGGGTTGATGAAGTCAATGATCAATGTTGCTATGGAAGACATAGAAAACAAGTTCTCTCAGAAGTAAAAAAGCAGCTATATTCTCAAAAAAGCCTAACAATAATAGTGCATGTGCTTCATGTCTACGAGTTACTGAAATTTGTCAACGATCGATAAATAATCTCCATATTGAAGATTTCTTGAATAAGTTATTTAGTTTTGAAAATCCATTACGAGAATCCATTACGATCCGCTGAAAGAAAGATTTCGGAATTAACGTTTTGAAAGGGAATCTACCGAGTATGTAGACTTTTCAATCTGCTTTAAACAAAAGGGCTAACTCGAAGAAGGACTAGAAAATGCAAATATATCGAAAATTACGTTTGAATCATAGTTTTATAAATGGATACCTGTTAAGTAACAACGTGCTGGTAACTCTTTTTCAAGTTTTTTTTATTAACAGAACCATTTGCGAATTATGTGGAAAAAGATGATGATCGAGACTCCTAATTTTGGAGTTATGGCGATTTTTTTTAATATCTCGACAATTTCGTGCAACATTGGAAAATTTTCAAAAAAATTTAGATTCTTTTTTACAGCCAGTGGTATCTTTGGTAGCCAATGTATCTCAAACATTGGCTGTTTTGCTGTGATTAGCGGTGTTGATACGCAACATATATTGAACTCCAAAAATCTTAATGTATTTGTGAAATTTAAGTAACTTGGATTTTGTAGTTTTCTTTTCTTTGTTTTTTGTTTCATGATGTTTTTAATCATTCAAGGTTGTTCCTTCCGATGAGTAACTTATTGATTGATATATTTTATATTTTGTCGCATGTTTTTACCTACCACAAAAATAAATTATTTTTCTTTTTAACCGCAACTATACCATTCTTAGTTTTATGCGTCATTATTATATAACAAGTATTTCCTTTGAGTTGTAAAGATTTCTTTATTCACTCGCTAAGAACCAGTTAGTCTTGAATCTTGCGCAGAAAAGGAACGCCGATTTCAAGCAGAAGTTCGGAGCACAGATCGATCCAGTTACAACAACAAGAACGATCATGTACCGAAAGCTCTGAGGTTATCATAATTGCGCTTTTTTCTGGTGGTCAAAAAGGGGCGTGTCGTTCCTGAAACTGCGCGCTTTTTTTTCTGACAACGGTTATTTCTTGTATTGCACATCTTTCCGCAATATCTGATTTCTGTTTCAATGCTACTTTCCTCAATGCTGACTTATTTTAGTGCGATAGGCAATGAGAAAAAGATCAGCTGCTGGGTTGGTAAGAGGAATCGATAATGAGATAGAAAAAATGAGCAAAAATAGCTTATGAAATTTACTTTTGATGAATCAAAAGAGATCAAAATAAGACGACTAAATTCAAAATGGCAAAAAATTTTTTTTAGTTACGTTAAGTGTGTTACCTTTTTTTGCGATGTCGGTTGATGGTTGGCGCTGAAAGTCTGCTGACTGTGCTACGAAGATGCTCTCGTTATTCACGACCAGAAGAAACCGCAGTAAAACAAATAGCTGGTTTTGAATTCGTTTGACAGCAAAAGAGGCGGAGATAGTAGGCATTCCATTCAAAGATAGTATTCGACGATTTGAAACCGCAACAAAGCACTTAGCTTTTCTCGGTCAATTTGTGCATGAGTTCTTCCTGGAAGTTGTGCAATAGCGCATTATGTTTATGGGCGCGCACTTGATTTTTCTAGCATTTTCAGAAAACTTATATAAATTTTTTTTTCGCAAATTCTGAAATTCCCAACCCTGTAGTTGGGTCCTGTCCGAGTAATCTCAAAGGTTGCGAATCTTGCCTCCAAATATGACTGCTCAATTCTTTGTAGTTTTCGAGATATGATATTTTTTGTGATTTTTTCAATATTTTTCAGAAAATTTTAATTAATTATTTCTCAAAATTTGAAATTCCCAATCTTATAGTTGGGTGCTGTCAGAGTACTGTAAGGAGTTACAAATCTTGCCTCCAAATATGACTGTTTAAAACTTTGTAGTTTTCGAGATATGACGTTTTTTGTGATTTTTCAAAAAAAATTTCAGAAAACGTAATAATTTTTTTCGGAAAATCTGAAATTACCAACCCTGTAATTGGGTGCAGTCAGAGTACACTAAAAGTTTGCAGATGTTGTTTCCAATATATGCGGTTTTTCATGAGCTGTCGTAAAATTTCGAAGCACCGAAGGTGCGTTAAACGCTAGTTTTCTTTAATTGAGTTCTTATAATGGAAAAATGTCAATCGAATAGTATTTTTCTTCAAATCGAAAGATTATAATCGTTCATACATAGTAGTCAATCATCTTATCGGTTACCTGTAGTTCATTGACACGTTTACAATTTCTGTTGGCTATTTTGGATCTCATCAGCTATTCTCTGTTTGGTTAACGAAATACCACCACTATTGTTGTTGTTATTGTTGTTTTTCTAGTTTGCCAGGTTTTCACCTGGGGAGATTCCTCCCCTAACTTCTTTCAAAAACTTCTCCAAGTGTCTAAAGTTTTAACAGTTGCTCGCGATTTGCCAGCTACAAAAAAAGGTTTCATTGAATTTTGTGATGAAGAATGTTGTAGAAGAATGTGAGTCTGTTGTGTTGTATGTTGTATATTGAGTGTGGTGTGTGTTTGTTTAGTTGGCCAGTCGGGAGGAGTGTCTGGCAGGTGTGGACAGTAGTCACCAGGAGTACATGGACGAGATAGGGAGGAGGGAGAGGAGCATACACAATCTGGAACTGCAGCTCCTCTCAGCACAGGAGGACAGCAGACGCACTCATGATGACGTAACTACTTCTTCTCTCTCTTCTCACACACTCCACTCATACACAGTTGAGATCCACCCAACCATGCCCACTAACTGTCTTGTAACTTCTCTCTCCCATACTCAACTAATACTTGTTGCAGTTTTATAGACTCGACCAATTATAACATGGTGTATTGTCTTGTGATGCAATAAATGACAGTGTCAAGTTAGCAGTTACCTTCCCTTCCCTCTTCTTTTTATTGTCTCCTTGTAGGTTTGAATGTCTTAAGCAGCTTCTCTTCTAGCAGACACCACTTCAAAGTCACACTGTCAATGAACATAAGCTTGTCTCCTCTCCTCACAGGCGGCTGTGATGTGAGAAAGGGGGATGGGTGATCGGAAGAACACTTCTGCTGCTCCTCATCCACTAAATGTAACCACAGAACAACACACACTCAGTCTATCTCCTCTCAACTGTTCCTCACTTCTCTCTCTCTCTCTCTCTCTCTCTCTCTTTTTTCCATCTTTCATTCGCTGCTATGTGAATGTGTGCGTGCACGTGTGTGTGTGTCATCTATCAGGTGTTTGATTGTGTCAGCATCAGCTTCTCTTCTCATTTGTTCCCGCCACCACAGCAATAAAATGAGTCAGCCGCCACTGCATAAATGTTTCATTTCCAACAGGAGCTACAACTCCTTTCCATTTCCATTTATTATGCATTGCTTGCATATTCCCAAAACTGAAGTTCAAAATTAATATTGCGATCAGCGATTGCTCCACTTTGCTAATTTGAAAAGTTGGCCAGGAATCAATAGTAAAAACAGAAACAATTCCATAGGTGAGCTTTTTTTTGTTGCTTCTGCCTCCTTGAGCAAAAGTTGGGCGAAAGAAAGGGGCGGTCCGCCTTTCTCTCACCAATTAAGCCGCTTGTGCATTCATATTGAAAATCTCTTTTGCGCTGTTTTGTTGGAAGTTAGAAAATGTTTTATTTGGTGCTAGTTTAATTGTTTGTCTCTCGAAAATTTCGTGGTTCTTAATAAAAGTTATTACCCTTGCGATACGCAAGGGTTTTTCAATCGGGTACTAGACTTTTTCCCCGTAAACAACTTTGTCCACGGGATGACTAAAATTTGATTATCTCCAAATGTATCTCTAATTCTACTCAAGATGCACGTCTAACAGCTGTAATTCAATAGCTGGCTTCAACGACTAAAGTGATAATTTTTTACAGCTGAAAAATATTATTGGATTTAAGTTGATTTTCTGTCGGCTTTGTTGATCTCGACCCAATTTTTGTCGGCTTACTTGCCGGTAATTAATTCTGTATTTTTTGGTAGATTTTTTAATACTTTTTTCTTCGTTTTCATAAAGGTATATAGCTCTCGGTTTTCTGGTTGTTATAGGCGCCAAAATTTTCTCTTAGAAATAAAACTTTTTGCACATCTATTTGCAAATCCATTCAACTTGATGGTTTATCGTAGTGTCAAAAAATGTAATTGCGTTATTTTCATAGGTTTTCATAATTTTTTGTGGCAATTGTTTTTAATTTTTGCATTCATGTTTGAATTTTTTTTTTCATTTTGATCTTATACTATAGCTGATAGGGCCTTTATCCCCGATTGTTCTTATTGATATGCAGATTGTTTGGTTGCAAGATTAAATGAACCGTTTTCGAGTAATTTAAGGTTTTTTGTATCTCAATTTTTTTAACCGAACTGTTTTATCGCTTTCATCAATTGGTTATCAAAAAGTAATGGATGGAGTTGAGTTAAGCCCAAATCCTTCTTGTTTGTGAAGGTAATTGAATTCTATAACAATTGCAATAATTTTTTTACTGATTTTTGAGCTAACGTTTTCTTCGACAACATTCATTCATTTTTTTTGTTCAATTTTTTTAAGACGTCTTTTGATTTTTGGAGCTTTATTGTGTATAGCAAGTGGTACGAAGCTCAGCTTCGTCTGTGTAAAAACTTGCAAATGCAAGCACACTTTTCATGGGTGATGTCTAAGTAACCATTTTTCTTAAATTTTATGCAATTGCCTCCTTTGCTCCGTATAGTGTTGGTTGATTGTATCGTGCTGTGTTTGTGTTGTGTAGTTGTCGCGGAAGGAGAGTGAGTTGCGGCAGCAGGAGGCGGACTTGGAGGGGGTGAGGAGACAGTACAGACAGGCGGTGGAGGAGAACGGCAAGTTGGAGGCCAAGATGCAGGCACTCAAGATCACCCAGTCCAGCGACACTGCAGTGCTGAGGGAGGAGAGGGACAGGGTGGGCGAACAGGCAGACAAACTGCGCATAGAGGCCGACGAGTGGAGAACACGGTATGTCACACACTCCCACACACTCAGATACAATGCATGCATATATGCACACTCAGATACAATGCATGCATATATGCATGCGTATTAGCTCAACCCTCCACATCGCTCTGCACACACCATAATACTCCATCTAAATCACTACTCGGAGTCAATTTGGAACCCCAGTTCTTTCCATTCTCCCAAAGTCACTTAATAAATGTTTTATGTTGAGATGAGCGATTTAAATCTCTTTCAGCTGTTACTTGAGTTCTGAAATGGTGTCTCAGTGTCCAGAAAAAGTGGTCTGATTTTTTTTCCGTTTTTTAGACCTATTTTTCAAACTGGAAAGTTCAGACTTTGTTTTCCAACTAGTTCCTCTGGGATTTTCTCAGTATTTTAGATATTGTTGACTGATTTTCATGGCTACTCAACCCATTCCGACCGCTCTTGCCGATTAAAAGATAGCAAAAGACGCACGGGATTGTAAATGGGTGGCCTATTACTAGCCTATTGTTATGTGTTGTGTTGTGTTGTGTTAGAGCGAAGCGGCTGGAGGAGAAGGTGGTGAGTCTGGAGCAGAGTGTGGACCAGTGCAACTACGAGGCTGGACAGTTGAGGAGTGAGAGCACGACCAAACAGGACAGTCTGCACACTGCACACAGACAGCTGGAAGACACACGCCAACAGCTGCACAAGACAGAGGAAGAGGTATTAAGTTACACACACTCATACGAATACTATTCACTATCCCCACTCACAGATACAAGTATACATATACTAGACCCCTTGTGCGAGTGCCTCAAAATTGTTCAATTTTTATCTTCGGTGATCTCATTCAAAATATCGAGTAAGCTAGCATAATTGCGACAGGTTCATTACGTGTGAGAAAAATCTTTGACCGACCACTGCATTTAGATTCAGTTAATTGCTCTGTATGCTTAAAATTAGTGGGATTTGGTACTTCTATCTCTCACTTGTTTTTACCGGGATCCCTCTATCACGTTTGGTAACCCTTATTCTTCTCCCCCGATAAAAATATAGTCCTCTTGTCTGATACTATTTTTGATTACATTTGCATTGAACCAGGATCTTGCTATTGTGTACTAGACTTTATCTCGTTACTAACTTTGTTCGCAGGACTCATCTCTTGATCCTCAATGTTTCTTTCAGCGTGTTAGCATTTTACGTATCCGACCTATGAGAAATTTGCTTTTTATGGTGGTTGCAACTTTGCCATTCCGATGTGTTAATTTCCCTTTTTCCCCTTTATAGATTTCGTCCTAATTTATATCGATTTAGCGGCCTTATATTGCGTCGTTTGATGATTGAAAAAAAGTGTATTTTCTGAGGGAGATGGTGACTTGAATTTTTTTAATTAAATTTGAGTTTTTTTGGCATTAAGGGTGTTGCACAGGTAAGTTCGGCTTTGTTGCCTCTTTGCAAAATTAGCATCGGAAAAAAGTTTACCAAATTCGTTTGTCTAGTTTCTAGTTCTTTCTTCAACAGTTTTATTGTTCGAAGGCCTCTTTACAAGTTCTTGATCGCCATGCTATTTTGATCCTATACTTTCTGTATAGCAAGCAGTGCGAAGCTCAGCTTTGTCTTTGTTAATTACTAGTCGTATGTTTGATAATCGTTCGTGACAAAATTAGAACAAGACTGCTGGTATCAGGGCGAAGCCCTGAATGTTCCGTCTACCTTTTAAGGTGAATGGAGCAATAATAAAAATTAAATGTAATAAAAAATGAAAAACTTTTTTTTTCTAGAATTTGAAAATGTTTATGAAAACCATCCCCCACTCGCGATTTAAAGTTCAAAAGGATAGATTTAGCTCCTAGTAACATAGTATTTATGGCAAATAGCCTGCTTCAACCAATTTGAAACGATTGCTAAGACGGATTAACTCTTCGCTTACGCGTTAATAGCGCGAAATATATCACGCGTTAATTGTCCCAAATTGGCTGAAATGGCAATCTTTAAACCCCCATAACTTTACGACAATACCTTTCGAATGATATAAAAAATTCTGTAAAAATGGCTAGTTAAAAAGTCGAAATTTGTCTGAAGAAAAAAAACCCACCCCGAGCACAAATATTCCGTTACTTTCGTATCGAAAGTCGGAACAATTAATGATTTCATGTTAAAATCTGAGTTAAGCATCGAAGCGGATAGCGTAAAAACTAAAGCAGTTGCTTAACGAAAGACTTCCCTTTATAGTTTACACATCGATATAAAATAAGATTGAAAAAAGTAAACCAGGAAATGAAAGCGTTATTCCCCCTCGTGCAAGGAATGAACCTGAGATGCAAGAACAACATTAACAGCAGTCAACTGGCGACTAAATAGATTCTCATTTGTATTACATTTAGTTTTAGTTGTAACATCGAAAGTGTCATCGCTGGCTATAAATAAGAAAACAGAAACAAAAACCAGAAAACTACAGCACTTGGGCAATTTAAAGAAATGTTCTTTCGAAACAGAGTTAGAAATTGATTCTTTTTGTAGCAGTATTCGGCAAACGAAAAAATTACTTATTTACATTTACTGTGTTTCCTTACAAAACCGTCCTGCTTCTGTATGAAGATGCATGTTGGACCATGCAGTTTGTTGAGATGTGATATTGCTGTTTAATTATGTAATAGTAGAAACGGGTATATGGTTGTGTGTTGTTTCAGCTGAGAAGGTGTGAGGACTCTGTGAGTCAGTTCTCGGCTGAGCTGAGGGAGGTGAAGGCCAGGTGTGCCAGTGCAGAGAACACGGTCAGTACAGTACAGATACCCCCCAAGCACACCCCATAAATGAATAGAAATAAAAAAGTGTTCGTGCAACACTAGAAGCAGCTGACAGAATGTGTGAATACAAGACATGAACTGTGTGTGTATGTATGTGTGTAGGTGGGGATGCGTGATGAGGCTGTGAGTGATTTGAAGAGTGAGTTGGAGAGTGTGAGGGGTCAGTACAGAGAGGCCATGGACAGACTGGGCGAGAGGGAGGACACCATCTCCCACTGCCACATGGACATACACTCTCTCAAGGCAACTCTCAAAGACACCACAGCACAGGCAAGTGTAGTGGATGGATAATCATGGGATAAGGTGTTTGTGTGAAATTGTGTCCTTATGTGTATGCGTGTGTGTAGGTGGATCTGAAGAAGGGCGAGTTGAGCAGGGCGGAGAAGGAGTTGGAGAGTGTGCGGGCGAGTGTGGTGAGTGGGAAGAAACAAGCGGAGGAGGGGATGAGGAAGAAGGAGAGCCAGTGTCAGAAGCTGAGGGAGGATCTGCTGGAGGCACAGCAGCAGTACAGCCAGTGCTACAACGAAGTAACTCAAAACCCCAACCACATCCACATCCACCACATTACTTAACATTCTATTACACTGACTATAGGAAACAACGACTGTACAGATTCAATTTGGGGATAGAAGTTAATATAAAGCCCATTAAAAGTATATTTGCCAACCAGTGGGATTGCAGAGGCACAAGAGTAGAATTTTTCCTCTTTTAGTACCACACTTTGCACCTAGAGGTAAATTGGCGGCCACGCGCAAACTTATTGATCACCTAATGTCATATACCCAATGATTATCATCAGTCTAGATCCATCCCATCTCATCCCATCCATTCAGCCACTGTTTCACGAATATCATCATACTGGATAGTACGACTCGACTACTGTCCTCATCTGTCATTTGTCACCTGCTCCTGTGATTTGGGGTAATGTGTATATATGTGTGTGTTAGGTGATCAGACAGGAGGACATGATCAACCAGCTGAGGAAGAATAACAACCAGCTGCACGAGCAGACCACCAACGACGCCGAGAGGATGCTCAACATGGCAGAACAGGCAAGTGGCAACAACAGGCCCCCCTTCACAACGTTATAATTATAATAACGACAACTCCTACTCAGCCTCTGATCTTGCTTCCAACAAATGGCATCCATCTTTCTCTGTTCCCTTTCCACGCGGTGTGTTAATTGTGGAAATTGATTTGTTTGTGTTTTGGCTGCAGGTGCATAAACTGGAGCTGGATCTCTCTATGGCACTGGAGCGGTACAGGGGCACCCAGAGTGAACTTGTCCAGAGAGACCAGGCCATCCTGCGTCTGAAGGCAGACCTGGAGGAGACGGAGCAGAGGGCGGACACACTCCAGAAAGAGGCATGTAGTAGTAGTAGTAGTAGCATTGCCGTCTATTGGGAAGCAGTAGCAAGTGTCGTTCATGCGTAATGTGTCTCTGTGTAGGTGGATGAGAAGGGGGAGGAGGTGTGTCGTCTGAGTGGGAAACTGAAGAGTGTGCAGAGTGAGTTGGCACAGATGGGACAGAGGGAGGAGGAGAGTGGGAAGCAGATGAACTCACTCCACTCACAGATCAACACTCTCCAACAACTCAAGGTAAACATAAGTGAAGTTTTTTTGAAGTGAGGTTTCGTCAAATTATCCCATGGTGTATATCACGTATATCAAACTGTATATAGATTGCATGTGTGTATGTGTTTTTTCAGGAGGAGCATGAAAGGAGTTTGGAGGAGAGCAGTAGCAGCATTGAGGAATTGACCAGACAGTTGAGACAGGGCAAACAGCAGCACTTGCAGGAGGAGGACAGACTCACCCGACTCCTCCATGACACCCAGATACAACTGGACTCCGTTGGTAAGTGCAGAGACAACAGGGGCAGGGCTGGCTAGTGGCAATCCTCTTTAATTGTGCTTGCGATTAAAGAGCGTTATAGACAAATATATGATAATCATCTTCCAGAATGGGGATTTTTACCCATGCGAGCGTTTGGTGGCTTTTTTTCGAATGCTCATTTGGTGGATTTTTCTGCTTCAATGGATAACATCGGCAATTTACTTGCATCTGTAGCTGCACTATTCCTGGCTAGTTTTCTTATATTTCTAAGCGACCATAGTGCAGATGCGAGGATTTGAGACTCCTAGTCTCCAGATCGGAGGTTCGATTCCGGAATTTATTATAAAAAAAGTTGTCATTTTTTCTTAGTTCAGTTTTTTGCCTTTTTGTGTTTACCTTGAGGATTTTTCAGAAGTAATGAACGTAGTGAAGACTCTTATATAGGTCTTGCCGATGTTTTTTGTTTTTGTTCAGAAAAAGTTTTAGAAGTCTCTAATAACTACAAATGTGCATTCATACATATTGGTGCTGACAATGGCAATACGTTTTGGATGATAAGATTCCAATTTCAGATCGTAGTTTAGTTGTTTCTTTTAAATGATTTCTTTTGAGTTTTGAGTCTTTCAGTTTACTAATTTGGCGGCATATTCATGTCGAAAATGTGGCAAAATAAGGTTCGGCAAAGACTAAAGTTCAAATGTCGTAGACATAGCCGGGCCCATTTGCAGGTTGCAAATTAGAAAATTGTTCGTTGAAGCTGATGGTAACGTCGCCGTTGATTGTAATGGTCATCTAGTTGTTAGCTGTCGTTGATCATGTTGGTCATCTAGTTGTTACTGTGGTCCAATACTCGCGAGATTTTGACTGCTGGTCGGTGTAGAATCCCCCTGCTAGTTTTAATTTCGCAGGAGCGAACGATTCCGTCTGCACCTGGGAAAGTACGAAGTACCCGTCCCAGGGGCCAAAGACCTCGAGGCGTTAGGTCTTCCAGTACCCATACAAGGTCTCCTTGCTGAAGATTTTCCACTTGCTTTGTCCATTTCGTTCGGGTCGTCAAGGTTGGCAAGTAGTCTTTGAGGTATCTGTTCCAGAACTGTTGACTCAAGGCTTGAGCTTTTTTCCAAGTTCTCTTGTCCGTTGTGTGGCTAGGGAGAAACAATCCGGGAGGCAAATTGTTTGTTGGTCGTCCTAGTAGAAGGTGATTGGGTGTAAGGGGCTCGTCGTCGGTTGGGTCTGATGAGACGTGGGTTAGCGGGCGAGAATTCATCATAGCTTCAAACTCGCACGTGAAGGTTGACAGAGTTTCGTCGTCCAGTGTCCGTGTTCCAATGACTTTGTAGAAGGCAATCTTAAATGTTTTTATGAGGCGTTCCCATGATCCACCAAAGTGAGGAGCTGCAGGTGGGTTGAACTTCCAGGTTATTCCAAGTAACTGGCAGTGATTGTTGAAGTCGTTGCTGTGTTGAATCTCAGAAAGGCTTTCCTGTAATTCCTTGTCAGCTGCAACGAAGGCTTTTCTGTTGTCAGAGAAGATGATCCTGGGTTTACCGCGTCTAGCGATGAAACGGCGTATGGCTTGTAGAGTTGAGTTTGTGTCGATTTGCTGGCATATTTCTGAATGAACTGCTCGCGTGACGAGGCAGGCGAAGAAGATAACGTATCGCTTACTGTACTCGTCGTTGTTCCGCGTGGCAAAGGGTCCAAAGAAGTCAATTCCTGTTGAGTAGAATGGGTAACTGTTTTCCGATAAAGGGAGTCGTTGTAGGGGTAGATCTGCCATCAGAGGCTTCACTGGTTCCTGTCGAAGGCGTCGGCAAGGTATGCATTGTCGAATAGTTTTCTTCAGATGCTTGCGTGATCTTATGATCCAAAAGTCCTGCTGAAGAATGCTTCGGGTGTGTTCCATTCCACAATAGGAGTTTATTTCGTGTGTTTGCTTCATGAAGAGTTGTATTGGGTAGTTTTCTGCGTTCAGAATGACTGGATGTCGGCTGCAAAGTAGAAGCGGGGCTTTCTGTAGTCGTCCTTTGGCACGTAAGTATCCGTGATCGTCGATGAAGGGGCAAAGAGGTTGTAAAGGGCTGCGGGGTGGAATGTCAGATTTCTTTGTCAGGCATGCTATTTCCTTGGGGAATGATTGATTCTGTGAGTGTTTAATGATCCATGCGAATCCTAAGGTGAGGTGTTGAAGTGAGAGGCTCTGGCGTGTCTTCCTTTTGATGTTTTCTGCGAAGAGAAGAACATATGAAGTAACTCTGAGTGCTCTTGTCCAAGTGCTAAATCGGTTGAAGTCGATTACTGATGTTGGCGGTTGTGGGTCGTTGTCTGTCAGATGAATATCGGCTGTAGTTTGTGTTGGCGGATGATTAGGCCAATCTGATGATGGTCTTAACAAGAAGTGTGGTCCATTGTGAATCGGTAGTCATGTCACATGCTTTGTAACCACGTGTTCCGTCGTCTGCAGGGTTGTCTTTGCTGGGCACGTATCTCCAGTCCAGTGAAGATGTTGAGTCCATGATGAAATTCAGGCGGTTGGCAATGAAGATCCGGTGTCGTTGATTTGGCGAGTTTATCCAATGAAGAACTGTTGTACTATCTGTCCATAGTGTCGTACTGTCGATTCGTATGTCATGTTGTTCTTCGATGAAACGAGAAAGTTTAGCTCCGTTAGTGGCGGCTTGAAGCTCGAGATTTGGAATTGTCATTCTGCTGATGGGTGCTACTCGGGCTTTTCCAATGACGAACTTGAGTTCCGTTGTGTCGTCGTCGTATCTGATTCTGAGGTAAGCAACTGATGCTAAGGCAAGTTCGGAGGCGTCGCTGAATACATGGAGTTGGGTTTCCAGTATCTTCGTTTCTGGTTTGAAGTAAATCCGGGGTAGGCAGATGTCGTTGAATTGGCTTCGCTTGTCTATCCAATCGTTGAGGTCTGTTAAATGCTCCATGTTTAGAGGCTTGTACCATTGAGGTCCATTACTCCAGGCAAGTTGAAGTGATTGTCGTAGTCGAATTGTCAGTGGTATCGTAATTCCAAGCGGGTCAAAGATTGAAGAAGCAAACTTCAATAGTTTGCGCTGCGTTAAGTCCTTCCTGTCAATGGCGTGAAACTTCTTTGCTTCCACAAGAAAGACGTCCGTGTCTGGTTTCCATTTGAATCCAAGAACTCTTTCGAGGGGTCGTTCCTGCTTGGTGAGGCTGTCGCTGTTTTCCAAGTGGTTCTCGTTGACTGTTGTGAGGAATTGTTGAGAGTTTGAGGTCCATATTGTGAGGTTGAAACCTCCAAGGCTGAACATCTTTTGAAGGTCGTTCATTAACTGTGTCGCTTCCGTCGGTGTTGAAACGGCTTTGTATAGGTCGTCCATGTATATGTTGCGTTTTGTGATTTGCTCCAAGGCTGGATATTTGTCGGCATTGTCCTTCGCACATTGTCGAGTGGCGTAGCAGGCAACACATGGTGAGTCGGTAGCTCCGAAGATGTGGCAGGTGTATTGGAAGGTTGCGGGTTGGCCCGTGTTGTCCTTCCACAGAAATTGCAAATACGGCTGGTCCTCTGGGCTCACGAAGACCTGAATGAACATTGCTTCAATGTCGGCAGAAATAGCGATTTGGTGCTCGCGAAATCGCATAACGATTCCAGTAAGGTTTGTGAGGAGGTCTGGTCCAGTTAGTAGGTTGCTGTTGAGTGATACTCCTTTGTAGATGCTCGATGCATTAAGGACTCGGCGTACCTTGCCAGGTTTATTGATGTTTGTCACTGGATGATGAGGAAGGTACCATTTTCCTGTTGAGTCTTCATGGGAATCATCAACTTTGACTATGAAACCTTTCTGCAAGTCGGTGTCGATGGTCTCCTGATATTTCTGTGCCATCTCGGTGTTTCTCTTCAGTCGTTGGAGAAGGCTGTCGAGCTGCTTCTTGGCAAGCCATCTATTGTTTGGCAGTTGTTGTCCACGTTTCCAAAGCATTCCAACTTCGTAGTGTCCATTGGGCAAGCGGGTTGTTGAAGATTCCAAGATGCGGAGAGCTTCCTTGTCGTCTGTTGAGAGGCTGCGTTGGTCAGTTGAAATCCCTTCGGCGTCCATTTTCATCCATTCAGCTACGTGGCGAAACAGTGTATCGTCTGTCGTGAAGTTGATTGTGTTGATGTCGTTGGGTGTCGCTGCATTGTCTCGTCAACAGAGAGACCATCCAAGTGGCGTTTTCCATCCAATAGGCACATTTTGTTTTGAATGGATTACTTCTGAAGGTGTCACGAGTTCGGCGAAATCGCATCCAATGGTGATTCCGATTTCTTTCGAGGGCAGTGTTGCTATCCGAATGTTTTGAAGTGGCTCGTTCCTTTGGCAGATGGAGTTGACGAGTTCAGGGTTGAATTGGGAAAGGTTCCAATCCATTATGACGTCGATGTCATTTAGTTGAAATGGCTGCTTTTGCTGGTTGTAGGGTCCAATCGCGATCGTCATCTTTGTAGAATCTGTGTCTGATGATGTCAGTGCTTGGTTTAGCTGGATGGTGTTGTCTAATTGCAGATCTGGTTTGAGTTGGAGGACGATTGATGATTTAAGCAATGTCAGTTTGCTTCCACAATCAAGCATTGCATAGGCACGAACTCTATGTTTGCCATGAGAGATCGTTACTGGCAGGGTAGGAATGTGGCGAGTCGATTTCCTTCTGCTTATGCTGGTGCTGCAGTTGGTGGTGTCGTCATGTTGTCTGGAGTTCCGGTTGGCTGTCTCCCTCTGTGTCGTCGAGTTGTAGGTGCTGCTGTTGCGCAGAAGCGTGTGGTGTTTCTTACTGCATCCGTCCGTCCAGCAGGTTTGCGTTGATTGACAGTCGGCGAACTTGTGGGGGCTGAGGCAGTTGAAACATAGTTGTAGGTCCCTGGCATGCTGTAATCTGTCCTTTGGGTTCATTGCGATGAAGTGTTGGCATTTTCCAAGGTACTGGCAATTGCGTTTCTCCGGGCAAAAATCTCGTCGTTGATCCTTTTGTCCAGATTTATGTTGCTGCTGGCTGCGTTGCTGGTTCCGGTTGCTCTGATTGGCGCGGTGATCCGATGGTCCATGTTGGTGGGTGTGACCGTTGGATGATGATCCTTGAGTGTTGCTGCTGTTGTAGTTGTTGCTGTTTCTGGTGGTGTTGTTGTTGTTGCTGTTGCTCGGCAAATCGCTGCATGCTTCGGCGTAGATGTTGAACCAATTGGTGAGGTCGATGAGTGATGGTTGTCTGATGTTGAATTGCAGATTGTATCTATTCCATTCTAGTCGGCAAGGGGTAGGCAGTTTTGACAAAACTGTTTGGACATTTGTCGTAGAGTGTAGATCGTGCTGGAATCCAAGTGTCGTGAATGTATCGACCATTGTCTGTAGGAAGTTGGCGATGTCCTTGTAGCTTCTGGTATGTCGTAGATTGGGGCCGCTGATGGCGTCGAGTCGTCGAAGGAAGGATGTAACTATCTTCGTCGGGTTACCAAAGTCGTTTTCCAGTCGCTGAAGGGCTGCGTCATACATTGCTCCATTGTATCCATATCCTCGGATGAGAGATTTGGCATCTCCGGATACAAGTTTCTGCAGATGTGTCATCTTTTCCGAGTTTGTCATGTCGGTGCTGTTAATGGTTGCATTGAACAGTCCTATCCAATCTAACCATTGTTCATGTTCTCCGTCGAATATGAATGGTTTGACAATGGGCACTGATTTCCTGAATGTCTTCGAGATCATTTGATGATGGTTGTGGTCTGTCGGTGCTGTTCCAAGGTTGGTCGGAATCGGAAAATAAGTCGGCTGGTTCTGATGTGCTGCATGTTGATGTGCTGCATGTTGATGGACTGCATGTTGAGGGGGAGGTCGGTTGATGTTTGGGTGAGTTGTTCCTGTTGGTCCCCTGCAGCCTGCATGAGTGAAGGCTGTTGTTGATGATGTCGGCATGTTCGTAGGGTTGTATGCTGTCGTGGTTCCCAGAAATCCTTCCTGGTACGATCGTATGGCAGGTTGTGTACATTGGTGAGTCAGGGTCGGCTGGCTGGAGGTCCAATTTGTTGCTGTTAGTTGATCTGCTTGGTTTGTTGGCAGTAGTGCTGGTTGTGCTGGTATCGGTACTCCGTTGATGTTTGTGATACCCTTAGCTGTCGTCTGGTGTCCACTGAACACGTTGGTGGGGGGATGATTGGTTGAATTCTGACTTCCAATCGTCAAGATGGGTCTAAAGGCGCTGTTCGGATTATGTGTCCTCTGTTGTTGGCTTGAAGGCTGGTATAGTCCATGTGGGGGACTAGCTGTCTGGGGAGCAAGATTTGGGTGTGTGATTTGCTGTCCAATCATTTGACTCTGAGTTGCTTTTGAAGTTGCTGTCGGAAGAAATATTGGCGCTGAAACATTTCTTTGTCGGGTTACTGGTGCGTTCATCTGCTGATTGAAAACTTGGATTTGAGTTCCAGTGTTGGAGTGCGGTGACGTTTCATGAAGTTGAGCTTCTGAGTTCGGTCTTTGCTTTGTCCCACTGTTGCTGTCAATTGGTGATTGTCGATTCGGAGTTGAGTTCCATTGTTCAATTCTATAGTCGTTCCTTGAAGTTGAGCTTCTGGGTGGTTCGGCTGAAGGTTTGAACTTTGTGACAAGTCGGCGTTCGGCTGCTGCAATGAGAGGTTTGACTGAGGATGGATGTGAGTTCCATGGGCAGTTTGAATTCCAAGAGTTTCTGTTTGTTGTTGATGAATGCGATGATCCAAGGCATTGGCGTCGCTGTTAGATCCGGGGCGAAGTAGGAGACCTGAATTGTCCTGGGCGGAATTTGATCTGTGGTTTGAAGTAGCGCTTAAGATTGCTGACAATCCTGAAAATTGTGGCAAATCGTCCGGGGTGTCCTGGTCCATGGTGACGTTTTGTGTAGTGGTACTACGGGTTAAACTTTCCGTTTGGCGTCGAAGGGGAAGATTTTCCAAGGCTTGTAGTATTATTGAAGGCGTCGAGACGTTGCTGGCTACTCGTGATGAGTTTAAAGAAGACGTGGCAGTGTTTTTGAGGGTACGCTCGTATCGTTTTGATTGTAGTTGGATCGTTCGGTACAAAACTTTCAAAGTTTTCAATCGTTCAATGATTGAGTCTTGCTGGTCCGTTCCGGTGCGTATTATCTTGACTGCTTCGTTATTGGCATCGTCAAGCAAGCTCTTCAATTCCGTTAAGAAATCGTCTATGATCTGTACTTCGTCGGAATCGCTTATGGATTGGTTAATTGCTTTTGCTAAAATTTCTACGTCTGTTTCTATGACTTTAAAAACAGCATCATAGGTTGAATTCATTTTTAATTGACTATGTCGCCTAAACTTAATTCACGTTTTGACGTGTCAGACAAAAATTCCTTTGATTACATGGAGTGTAAGGAGACTCCGAGAGTCTGAGACGCTGGTTCTAAGGAGTACAAGGAGTGTAATTCCTTTGATTACATGGAACCCTCGCAATTGTATTGTAACAAAAAAAATGATTTTGAGTTTTTTTTCTTTGGAACTTACTATCCAAAAAAAAGAAAAAAAAAGTAAACAATATGATTGGTTAGTATAAGGATGGGTTCGTTGATTTTTCAAACAAAAAAAAACCTTGGTTTCGGTTTCTTTTTTAAAAAAAAACTATTGTGCGCCAATGACAATGGCAATACGTTTTGGATGATTAAGATTCCAATTTCAGATCGTAGTTTAGTTGTTTCTTTTAAATGATTTCTTTTGATTTTTGAGTTTTGAGTCTTTCAGTTTACTAATTTGGCGGCATATTCATGTCGAAAATGTGGCAAAATTAGGTTCGGCAAAGAATAAAGTTCAAATGTCCTAGACAGGTGCTTTTTGATAGACTGTGCTTTGAAATTAGTTCAGTTATAATATGACACAGTTGATGCAGTTCTTATTGTTCAAATGAACTGAAAAAAGCTATTTGCTGCAAAGACCAGTGCAATACTAAAAATTCGATTTCCGAAATATTTCAACTCAATATATCTCGCAATATTTTTGAAGTGCTTAGTTTATTCATAATTTGGCTTCAGGCTTTCGAATTCATTACGCGCAAAGTTGACGTGGATATGTAGCATATGTAGCTGCTTTATTCGTGACTAGTGTGTGCGGGCTGTTAACAGTTCGTGGCCGAGACTGAAAATCTCGAGGTTGGAGATTCGAGTCCGATATATAGCAATCTTCACTAATTCGAGGCTTTTTTCTATTTTTTCTTTTTTCACTTCGTAAAGCTGCTTTTCTTATGTTCTCGCAATAGCGTGCGAAGCCCAGCTTCGCCTCTGTGCTCAATTTATTGCCTAAACGAGCTTGGGAGCAATAGTGTATAAAACGAAGTCGACTTTTTCCGAACCAGCTGGCAAATGAAGTGCTCATTTGAGTGTCGTTTTTGTTGCAAAATAATGGCAGTATTCTTGGCTAAGTTTTCGTGCCTTTAAGCGTCAGTCGCACAGTTATTTGGCGCAGTTGACTTGAATGCTGAGATGTCCCAGGACTGAGGTTCGGTTACCGTACAGGGCTTTTGTTTTTCAAAACTCATTAACATATTTCAGTTTTTTTTAAACGTTTTTTCTCTTTTTCAACCTTTCAAAAGCTACATGGCGTGTTTTACGTGTGTTTGCGAAGTGCAACTCCGCCTCTGTTTAAACCTGAGTGGTCAAGATGCTTTGTACTGATACGGTTCATACGTTTTACCAAAAGTATTGCTGAACATTTTAGGAGCATACTTCAAAAATATTTACTTTCCTTATTTTTATGCAAGTGTATCAACTTCACTACAACTGGCGATATTATTCTGCCTTGATTCTTTGTTCCTGGCAAACATTGGAAGGCTTTTGAATCTTTGCCCTCGTTTTTATTTTCATTTAGTCCAGGGGCGGATTTAGGGGGGGGGGACGCCCCCCCTTCCTCAGGGATTCGACCCCCTGCCGACCCAAAGGGTCCCCCCTTTGATACTTTTTAAGAAATCCATTTTTGGCCGACCGACCCTAAAATTTTTCTAAAGGCGCCATTGGCGCCAATACATACTAACTTTGAGGGGGAGCGCGCGCCAAAAAAAACGCGATTTTTTAAACAACATTTTTCAAAAAGTGCCCAAAAACGGCTTTGACTGTTTTTTCAAAAATTTCTTGCGGCGCTGAAAATTTTGCCCAAAATAGGGGAAAAATAGTGCTTTGGGAGAGCTCGAAAAATCAATTTGGGAGAGCTCAAAAAATCAATTTGGTCGACCTAAAAAAAGGGCTTTTCCTGCTCCCTTAACGTTTTCAAACTTGGGCAGAAGTCGTAGCCCAACTTGGGCTTTCGGACATTTTTTCGACTTTTTCACCCTGCTGGGAGCTTTGGCATTGCTTCGCTCGTGTTTCTAGGAATTCTAAATTCGACTCGCTTTCGGTCAAGTTACGTTGTTTAGGTTGGAGAGCGACTGCTTCTTTGAAGGTCAAAAAATGAATTCATGGCGGCATCGTTTGCCTTGTCATCTGTTGTGGTAATTGCAGTTTATAGTCGATGTGAATGTGTTTAGGGAAGAAGTTGGGTGAGGTGGAGGCGACGAGGGAGAAGGAGAAGAGGGAGATGGAGGGTGTGGAGAGGGAATTGGTGGAAGTGAAGAGACTGCATGCAGACCAGTGCGACATGGTCAGTCAATCATTCGCAAACAAACACACAGTGTCTATCCCAACCACTTACTTGATCATCATTCCTAATAAACGAAAGGGAAATAACCAATCTCGATTTAATAAGACGGCATAAAGAGTGAGACGCAGCTGTCCTGTTCAATCCCCCATCCTGTGTTGTTCCTTTCTCTTTGGGTAGTCTGTGACGTGTATTGAAAAGTGTAGTGTTGTAATATTTAATTGTGTGTGTGTTAGAATATGATGGCGACTGAGAAGGTGCGCAGCTGTGAGAGTGACATCGAGTCCCTGAGACACCAGGTGATGACTGTGGAGCAGCAGCTGGCCTCCAGCAGACACAGTGGCGAGGCACTGCAGCAGGACCTCAACGCAGTTCAGGCCAAACATCTGGAGGCACTGAATGCCATCAACGAGATGGAGAACAAGTGCATGGGTATGGAGCATCGGGTGGAACAGCTGCGCGAACAGGTCTGTCCTCTCACCACTACCACTACTACTCTTTCTTATCTTTACTTTCTCTGTGATAATCGAAAATGTGATAATTTGAAAATCGAAAATGCTCATTTTTTTGTGATCCTATTTGACATGATTTGTGACGACATGTGTATTTGGTATCCCAATGAAAAATTTTAAGTCAATGAATATGATACACACATTCGAATTAACCCACATTATTATGATCTCATTTTTTCAATTCAATTATATTGAGCGAAGTTAACTAAATGATTGGAAGCACATGTGTTTGAATAAAAAAAAACGAAGAAGAAATCAGTGATTATTCATGGTGGCTACAGTTGTTTGCCAAGAGAAGCCACCACAAGTAGTGTTATGTAAATGAGGGTTGATAGTTAGAAGATGTTGTTGTGTGATAGTTGGGGGAGCGTGACAATCAGCTGGTGGAGATGCGCAGTAAGGTGGGGGGACTGGAACACACTGTGGAGTTGAAGGAGTCGCACATCAGGGAGAACGAGGAGCTGCTGGCCAGTCTGAATGGGGACTTGAGACACAGCCAGAGTGAGTTGAGTGCCAGCAGAATCAAGTGCAGCGAACTCACAGCACAGTTGGAGGAGCTCAAGGACAAGTTGACTGAGACCACACACAGTGTAAGACACAATACACACACAAACACACCCTCTACTCTGCATTCCACTCTTGCTCTCAAGAGCGAACACACGCGACTATACAATTGCATCCCCCTCCCCCCTGTTTTACGTGTAAATTTTACTAATATACCGATTAATCCTATCGTATTCATGAAATTTGAGAGAATAAGTATCTACCATAATACAAACATGTTTGCTCATCATACTCAAAATTGCCAATCAAATGTTCGGTTACAGCATAAAATTGAGGTTTTTGCGAGGTGGTGGCAACAAAAAGAAGCTAAAAAAAGAATTGGAATATCATCCTTTGTAATCTGAAGTTTACTGAATCGTTGACATATTTTCACAGGCATCGGAAACGGTATGAGTCGCACAATCATCAATTTCGTTTCAATGTAATATTAGGAACACATCTTTGCAATTAACTCTTAGAAATAGTTCACGTTAGAGTCATGATAAAACATGAAAAAGAATCAAACAGATATCCTTTAAATTCAAGCAGCCCGTGATCTGTATTTTCTTAAAATGACGGATGCATGATTCGATCAAACATTCCTAATGCATGAGTTCTATTTCTACTGTGCCCCCCCCCCCCACCCAAACGAACACACAAATCCACTTGTTAATAGACCCCTGTGTTTTCTTTTAATGTGTGTGCTGTGTTTTGTGGTGTAGAGTCGTCGTCATGAGGAGCGGGCGAAGCAGGTGCACGCGGAGTACATGCAGTACCAGCAGCAGCATCAGCACTCGGTGGGGGAGGTGGGCGAGAGAGACAGTCGCATCTCGGAGCTGACAGACAGGGCACTCCACCTGCAGTCAGAGTGTCAGGCAAAGGTACTCACACACATACATACATGTCGTGTTCTATTGTGGAACAAGTGTTCTGATTGAAATAGTTATTGGCTGAAGAGACGCTGTTCGGTCTAGAGTAAGTTAGATATAAAATGCAGTCAGGCGAGTGTGCAATGGGTCAATCACAGTTGTAGATGTGTTGACTCTAACTGCGTGTGTGTGAACTGTTGTGTTATTGTGTGTGTGTAGGACGGTGAGTTGAGTGGGAAGGAGGAGCAGGTGCGTGTGTTGAGTGTGGAGTTGGCGGCCATCAAGGAGCAGAGGAACCAGACGAAGAGGGAGCTGCAGAAGGTGGAGAAGAGTGAGAAGCAGACCTACAAACTGTTGGAGGAGGAGAAGGCCTGCCACAAGTGAGTCACCGCCACTCATCGCCAAAAAAACTCACGCGCTGTTCGTTTGAGCTCGTGTGCAGAAGCTTGCAACAATGGGCCAATCAGTAGGGTCATGTTGTAGCAGCTGAACGACTTTGCTTAGCTAGATTGCGTCTGAAATATTTCACGCAACTGCAAATAAACTGCATAGCAATTGAATATCTGCCAAGACGATTGATGGATTCTTTAAACTTCTCGTTTCAGAGAATTAAGTTTTCTAAAGTGCTTACAAGCGTGGTCGTAGCTGTAAAATTATAACGTGCTGTGTTTGCCCTGTTGCGTTCCGGTCCGCGAAGTTTCTATCAGTATTTGCTTGTGTTTTCGATGAGCACTAGATTTATTGTGTGCGTAGGAAGAGCAGTGGTGCGTATGAGGCCAGAGTGGCGGAGCTGGAGAGGGAACTGGGGTCTGCACAGGAGAGCATCCGGCAGTACAGACAGGACATCAAGCTGCAGAATGAGGCACTGGAGAGGGCTCAGGCCCAGATCACAGACACCACACACAATCTACACAGCACCACACAACAGGTAACTACTCCACATTACACTTGGTTAATATCAGATATCAGCAGCTACCCTACCACCGCCCTCTCATACCAATTTAGAGGAAGACAAAGTAAGCAAACATAACTGTTTATGTTCTTCTCAGAGACAGATTCAGAACATACAGTCACCGCTGATGAAACACACGGTAAAAGATGACCACACTCTTTCCTTATTTTCCACTTCATTTCGCTATTTGAGTTGAGTTATTTTGCAAATCAATGCATTCATTGAAGTTCACAATGCTCAATCGGTTGCTCTTTTTGTTTACCAGTTCAGGAAAATGGCGAGGCGATTCTTCTGGGTTGGTTGCACTGAATAAGAAGGTGCTGATATTGTGTTTGTTGACTGTGTATTGTGTACTGATGTTGTTGTTGTGTTGTGTTTTGTGTGCAGCTGAGTGGGGAGGAGAAGCGTGTGGTGGAGCTGGAGCAGCAGGTGGCCACTCTGAGTGGCACGAACTCTCACCAGGACAACCGGATCTCACAGCTGACGGAGGACCTGGAGAAGGCCAGAGCAGAGCTGAAGTCTCTCAAGATGCGGTACGAACAGCATAGTCGCTTACTCTAAACACTGAGACGTGTCTAACATGTATCTATCATGTATCTATCTAGGTTGTTGTTTTTCTCAATTGGAGCAGTAATTGCTGCTAGCAGCTTCTATTGCTGCTACAGTATAGAATGTTGTGTTCTTACTTGTGTGAGTGTGTATGAGTAGAGTGTGACTATATATATGTGTGTGTTAGACTGTCGGAGAGTGGACAGGAGTTGTCGCACTGTGAGGAGAAGTTGGAGTTGGTGGAGAGGAGTCTGAACTGCACGCAGGATGAGTTGAGTGGGAAAAGCAGTGAGTTGGAGAGGGAGAGACAGCAGACTCACAAACTCTCAGTGGAGTTGAGGAGCACGAGGGAACAGCTGGTCACTCACGAACAGGAACTGCACGACGCCAGAGCAGCCATCGGAAGGTACGCCACACTCTATACGCCACCCACTTTGTTACTCCCGCTAGCCCGTCCCCTACTTTTAATCTATTCGCATTGAAGTAAGAGCATTGTCTATGTAAACTAGCGAGTAGCCTAATGTATTAGTACGAACCTTTTTTTCTAACCTAACTCGCAAATAAAACTGTCCACTAATTTGGTGATACTTTTGCGATAATCTCTGTTCAAAGCTCTGTAGCATTGGAAATGTCATAGCATCTGTTCTCTGCTTTATTTATGGCAAGTGTTTGTGATGTATTAAGTGTCCGTGGCTGAGTGGTTAGTGCATGAGACTCATAATCTCCAGGTCGCAGAGCGAATTCGAGACGCAACTGAATTTTTATTCATTCGAGGCGCATTGCTACTTTAATTGCACTTAGTAGATCTGCTTTTTGTCGTGTTCTCGCTAGTGTTTGCGCCTCTGTGTCAACGTAGTGTATCTGTGTAGAAAGAGAAATACATGGTGATGCAGCATAGACGGAAAGATTTTTGTCTTAGTGTGAGAGAGAGAAACTGTTTTGGATTCTGAATAAGAATATTCAAGGGCTATTCATGATTCAATTAACATGGCTCAGTTAGTATTGATTCATTGGCAAAAGGTTTTCTTGATACAATTTCGAATTAGACATTCTCTTGAGGGTGTAATATATTTTTAGGTCGAAGAAATTCTCTTTCCGAGTTTCAACAATTCGTTAAATAGGCACCATTTTGTCAAAGGTTTTAGCGTTGCATACCAGTATGTATTTGCTTCGAAGTTGCTTTTGAGAAACAAGTTAATGTTTGTTGGTAAAAATGGTTGCTTACACTTGCGATTAGCCAGCGTTATCAAATCGGAATCAATTTTTTGCCGGTTTAACAATTTGTTTAACAGAATCAATTGTTATCTTGTATCATGTTGAATTCAAAATTCTAAGCGTCTCCACATACGCTGTCTGGAGGAAAAAAAATACGCGTGTGACTGCAAAGGTCCTGATTTCGAATCTGACCAGGACCTGTTTTTTTTTTCAAACGGGAAATATTCCGTTTCAGAAAAATGTCGGCTTATTTGTCTGCTTATATTTTGCCGGCTTAGCTGCCACATCTTAATTTTGTTTGCTGCATGTAGCTTTAATTGTAGTTGTTTTTTACCCTGGCGATAAGCAAGGGTATTGCAATCGGGTGCCAGATTTTTTTTCCAATAAACAACTTTTTCCACTGTACTCGTCTGGACTCATTTTTACCTTGTTTCATAATGTATTTAAATTTCTTAGCGTTCCCGGCCACCTTAGCTTGGAAGTAACGAATATGCCTCGGCCTATTTTGTGTCGTTTCAAAGGCAAAAATTAATATTTTGAAAAAATTTCAGGATCCTTTTGGTGTAAGCGTTTGGAATTTTGTGGTGTAAAAGTTTGGATGGTTGCGATTGTAATTCAGGCTCTTATATACTTGTGATGACTTTTATTAAGGAAAAGTCTTTGAATTCGTTCACGCACAAATTTGCTTACGCTCAAATGCTTTTTGCAATTATATCGTATATTGTCTTGTGTTTATTTTTTCTTGAACGTATAGGTTACTCGTATCGCAAGTGGTGGTGCGAAGCTCAGCTTCGCCTCTGTGTTATGTTTTCATTTATTCCTGCAGTGTTTTCTTGCGTGCATTAGTCCAGCTGTCAGTTGGCTATGTTTTTTTCTTAACAGATTTTTTGGCCTAATTGATTTTGGCTTATTTATATCGTCTTACTTTGGGTCCTTCAAGGGAACCATATTTTGTATGCTTTCCTCCGGATCGCACTAAACGTTAAAAATCTAGTCTTAAGTTCAAAGTTTTTTCCCGACTAAATTTTCTTTTCGCTCAATAATTGTTTTGGAATTTTTATTAAACGGCATTGAATGTGTTTCTGGACTTATTCTCCATAAAAAGAACATCATTTCAGACAACGTTCTGAAGTTTTTTTAGTTGTGATATCTTCCATAATTTTTCCGTTTTCTTTGAACTTAGTGGCTCTCCTTTGCTTTCCTGTCTGATAGCTTTCAATGCGATATTTGCGGTATCGCAAGTGATGCGAAGCTTTGCTTAGCCTCCCTGTATAAATTAGTACCAAAGTGAGTACCTTTTGGGTAGTGACAGGGTTGAATCTATGAGGAGCGAAAGGGCGTATCCGTCCACCTCCCTAAGTCTGGCGGAGCAGTTGATCTTGATCTTTCCCAAGATTGCCTCTTTACTTTGCGCCTTATTGCAGATTGCGCTTTCAACACTCTTCTAACATGTCTACCTGGTATGTGTGCTTTGATTATCAGTCGCTTCTCTTCAGATTTTGAGTTTCATTAAGTGCACTTCCATTAGTTCACTATAATGCACGGCGAGTGCTGCAAATTAAAGTCACTCTCTCACTGGCTCTCCTATAATGGGGAGTGCTATATTGTCCTTTCTTAGCGCATACTTGGCGCCGCATTTAATTCAGAGTGTGAGGTAAGTCGTCAGGGGATTTCTAGACTTCTAATTAGCCATTTAATTGACTTCTATGTGCTCTGCGATTATGACTGGATGTAAATTTAAGTTTCCTTATACACTTCATGCGCACTCTCGTTTCTCCAATTGTGAGTGGTGTGGTCTCTCTAACGACTCTGCATTTGTTTGGCGCCCTGTTAGGATGGACACTTTCATTGCCAGCATGTTTAACTCCATGCCAGCCACACTAACTCAACAGGCGTCTAGTTCGCCCTTGGAACCATCAAACACTAACACAAGCAGCACTGTCTCCACCAGGGAACAGGCCCCGTTAAGTGCTCTGGATGCCCCACCTCTGGATGTGGGCGCCAAAGAAGCACAAAGTGAAGCTGGATTAAGTGGACCAGGAGATGGACATCAGGGAGTTGTTGATGAAAATGGGGAGAAGTTGCAGAGAAGTGTGTGTGCAGAAGTAGCACTAGTAGGAGAGAATGAAGAGAGAGAAACAAAGAAGAGCAGAGAGTGAGGATGAGATCAGATTAGATAGAGACTCACTCATCATTCTCATCCTCATCCATACTTATTATATACTACACAATATACCTACATATAATACTAGATACTATATAACTGGAGCATAACTGAATGTGTTCTGTATTATGTGAGGTTTGTATTATGTACGGTATAGTTGCAGAGCGGTCATGCAGTCGGTTTCATTCGTAGATATTGCGCCTCCTTCTAGTAATGTGATGGAATAGAGTCTGAGTGTGTGTGTGTGATTGTGTGTAGACTGCGGGAGGAGTGTGCGGGGGAGAAGGGCAAGAACCAGGAGGCTGCCGCTGAGATCTACAGACAGAGACAACTGGGCAACAAAATGGAGTCCCAGCTGGCAGTCAGCGCCACACAGGTACACTCAACTTCAACTCTCTTACAAATTGTCGATTCTTTCAAAAAAATGTCGGCTTAATATTTGTTTGCTCATGTTTTGTCGACTTAATTGCCACATCGTTGAGTTGTTTGTTTTTGCTGCATGCAATTTGCATTGCAGTTGTTTACACAAGCAAAGCTTGTGTTATAGTATGAACTTTCTTTTTTTGTCCAACCTAAGTCGCAAATATTGTTGCGAAAAAATGTTCATTTTGAAAGTGTTCATTTTAATCCAGCTACTAAGTTTAGCCAATGCTAAGGATATTAAAACAGACTATTATATTACAAATAGCACTTTAGCTTCAAGGTATCATGGATCTGTAACGTAGAGGTAGGGAAGGAGACCCGCAACTTAATAAGAGGGTTCGAACCTGGGCAGGGTCGGATGTTTTATATGAACTTTTTCGTATACTAGCTAAAATGCGTCCGCTCTATAAGTTGAGGCATGTTAGCTTGTCAGTTTCTTTTTTTTCAAACTGACTGGTACTGCTAATGCTTCATAATTGGCTTGCGTCACTTAGCAACTATGTAGACTCATACTTGGCGTGCGTCACTTAAAAAATTTTGAAAACTCAAAGTTTTAATCATTCAGTTTTTCCCAGTAGCGCTATCGGTTATAATTTTGCTTGTGCATGCGAAGTGCAACTTCGCCGCTGTGTTATGTTGTTATTGATTTCGCTGTTAGAAATTTTATGGAACTTGATTTTGTATCTTTTTTGTTTAAAACCTTTACTCTGCCCTAATGATTTCGGCTTATATTTTATTGACTTAGTAATCAATTTTTGAGTCGTTCTAAGTGAAGTATAATTTTATGCTCAAATTTGTATCCAACAATTTTTTTTGTGGGATCAATGATTTCGCCCCAATTTTTGTCGGGTATTATATTTCTTTATTTTCCGGGTAGATTTTTCTTAATTTTCTCGTTGGTTAATATAGCCCATTATTTCTTTGTTTTTATTCACTCCGAAACTTTCTGTTAATAAAGAAAGCTTTTTTAACTTCAAAAAATGCATTTTTTCGTTTCGAGATCTCTGATTACCCTTGAGATAAGCTAGGGTATTGCAATCGGGTACTAAACTTTTTCTTGTAAATAACTTTGTTCACAGAATAGTGATTTTAGTAGGGATGGTACCCAAATAGTAAAAATTTACCACTTCTGACATGTTCGAAGTTCAGATAAAACTACCATCATTTAAGTAGTAATTGAGTAAAGACTGTTTTAGGTTGTAATTATTTTTTCAATTTTCGGGTTCGTGGTTTTCGTTCTAGTTTCTGTCGGTTCCTTTTTTCGTTTTTTTAAACGAACATTTTGTTTATCTGGTAGGGCTGTTATTGGCTTGAATTTTTGAAGCATGGGTTTCAATTTCAATTTAAACACTTTTTTTTTTTACTATAACTGAAAGTTCTGTAATTTGCGATTTTACCAAGTCTGATTTTGCGTAATTTTTCCGTTGGTTTTTTGTAAAGTTTCTACAGTTTTTTTATGATGCAGTTTACTCAAGTTATGATGCGTAATTTTGAGGGTAAAAATATTGGTATAGAATTTTGTTTTTCGGTATGGATGAGTCGTAAAATGAAGTTTTTTTATGACATTAGTTTTGTTTTCAGCTCAACAGGTTTCGACCCATATTTTGTTGCCTATGTTGTCGCTCGGTGAATGGTTTCCAGTTTTTTTTTAAGGCTGTTTATGAACTTCGTCAATACAACCATGGAGTTTTTGTAGCTGTAGTTTTTCAAGTTACACGTTTAGGTGTTTTTTACTTTGTCTTTTTTTCCACTGACTATATTTTAGCGCAAAGTGTAGCGTAAGGCGAAGTTTTTCAAGCTAATTTAATACTGGCTGCTGTGATCTGCCGGTTTTGATCGAAATGATTTTCAGTTTGAAACAAACTATTTTGATGTTTAGTCAGTTTTATGCAGTCCATAAAATGGAGTTTATTTATCCGAATTTCCCTGTGAAATAAAACTTTCACCTATTGATCCAGTTTTCTCAAATTAGGTTAATTTTATTTTAAAAGTTTTAATGATAAATTGTTGTTGACAATCAAAGAGCTTCAAGTGCTTATATTTTTTCTTAAAAAATCGACAGTTGAAGTTTTTAAAAAATACTGTCGGTTTTTTCCTCTTTCCTGGTATTCGTTACCATTTTCCAACGGTTACAATTTCCGTTAATTTTTTTGCAGTTTTGATTGTTTTTTTTCGAAGATATGTATTGATTGTGCCATGAGATTCAGGAATGTGGTTCTTTCTGGCAGAAATTTTTGAAAAAAAAATATTTTTTCTTGTTTTTTTTTCGTTTACGGGCGTTTTTGTCTTTTTTGATGTCTTTTTTGTTCGGATGCAGCTTCCCTAACGTTGCGTATCAAATTCATTATTGGTGAGCATCATTTTCTTAGCATTCATTTTTTTTTTCTTTATTGTGATATTTGCTTAAAGAAAATGTTCCTGTTAATTTTTATTGCCAATTGTTTGTGTAGCAGATGCAGGTTGTTTGGTTGCAAGATTTTAAACAAAAGTTTTGAATACATTTAGGAAATTTCGGATCTCGATGTTTTCACCAAATCTTTTTCTGGGCGTTATCATCTATTGGTAATGAAAGAAATGAACGGAGCTCGATTTCTTTTTGTTTTAGGTAATTGATTTTCATAACAATTGCGATATTAATTTTTTGGAAATTTTCTTAGGCTACAGTTGTTTCAACAGAACTCATTAAGTTTTCGTTTGAAACACATTATTTTTTAATTTTTGGTATTTTAATTGATACTGCATGTGTTTTGTTTGTTTTCCACGCTAAATCAGGTATCACAAACAATGATCGGAATGGGTAGAGTAATATATCCTATTACAGCAGTTTCAAGCGTAATTCTATCGACATTGAAAAACAAATTTGTCCCCGTGTCGAGAAAAACCGGTTTGATATTACTAAAGGGAAAACTTTTATTTAGCTGTTTTGCTTCCTTGGATTAGAGGAAGAGTTCTCTGAATTTTTATTTCATTTTTTCTTTTTATTGATTTTCATTCATTTTTTGAAAACAAATGTTGTCGATTATGTCGAATTCATCAACTTTCTATGTAATTGTATAGCTCTTTCGTCACACCACGCACTAAAAACGATACTAATATAAAGGAAAAAGTTTTTTATTTTGTTTGGTTTTTATGTGCACACCAACCGGATATCCTTGTTGTTCCGACCATTTGAAAAATGGGAGGGAACTTTGTATTTGGGTATGTTTTAGTTTTTTTTGTGCGTTTTCCATAAATTGTCATCGGTGAGAGTTTAGTTAGAGATCATTTCAAAGCCCTTTCAATCGTGATTCGAACGACATTTAAAAAATTCATAAAATTTTCCCGGTGTCAAGAAAAAAACCTATTGAAATTAATGATTTTTCGCTTTAAATAGCCTAAAAGCTTACAACTGCCTAATTTAAGCGGTAAAAATTTAGTTTTACTTGACCAAGTTTTTTTTAAGTATTCTAGCGCCTTTTCTCAAATTTTTTTATTAGCGTTTTTCTAGTCATTTTATACAAAAATTTGTCGAATATGCCTAAGTTCTGGTTTTTCGTTGAGATCTTTTTTTCTTGTATTTTTTAAAATTATGGTGGGAACATTCTGTGCTACTTGCTTCTAATTCAACCTTATTTAGACCAATAACGAAAAAAAAAGATGTAGTTTGGACATTTTGTGGAATAGATATAGTGCAATTTGTTGCGAAAATTGATGTAGGTTGTGTGTGCGTGTGTGGATTTATTCGAGTGTTGTAGAACGCCAACCTGGCGGACAAGATCTCCACTTTGGAGAGTGGGGTGAAGGCACTGCAGGAGGAGTTAGGGAGGGAAAGGGAGAAGTTCCAGAAGAGCCAGGAGCAGCTGCACCAGACCAGACACCAGCTGGCCTCTGTGGAGAGGGACTATGCTCAGAGCCAGAAGACACTGAAGGACACCCAGAACCAGGTCAACCAATACCATCCATCTATCTCATATCATGTCATTCATTACATATGTATGCACATGAAGACACCTCCTCACTCTGTTGGGGTTTGTGCTATTAATAGAGGCTCACTTCGAAGATGGTTTCATATGCTCACATTGCAAATATCAGAAGCATCGTCCTTGTCTTAGATTTTCTGTCGCTAATAACTTGATACCCGATGGAGCATAATTTTTCTTTTATTTGATAATTTTTAAAGAACAATGCTCAAGGCTCAATGCTGTGTTCGATTATCTATTTTTGTGAGCTCAAATACTTCCGTATATGTTGCTTGAGTTGTTTAATGATCGTGCCTGGTGTCATATGTTGTGTTCTGTTGTGTGTAGTTGACGAAGGCGGAGAACTCGATTGGTCACTTGAAAGAGGAGTTGATGGACAGCCACAGTAGAGTGAGTGTGTTGAAGGAGACAGTGGCAGACACTCAGGCACAACTCAACACTGCCCACACACAGCTGGACAGTGGCGACAGAGACAAGCGAAAACACATGGAAGAGGTAACGCACACATTCTATGCAGCACCACACACAGACAAGGGATAATCCACTGATCCTTCATGAGAACACTTGGCTACGTCAAATCTCTATGAGATAGAGTTTGCTACTTAGTTTTAAACATTCAAAGGCTCCGTTGTCTGATTCAGACTCCAGATATCTTAAGTCTCTTAACAAGTTTTTGCGCAATCAATCCTGCTTAGTTTTGCACGCTCTGGTTTTCTTCGTGAAATTGATTGTACGTGGATTGAGTGTTTTTTTCAAGTTCAGTTCAATTTCACGAGGGAAGGAAAAATAAGCTCTCTACTTACAAAGCGGAACCGGTGCGAATAATTTGGTCGACCTTTGTGTTCAATCTGCGTGTGTTTGTGTGGTTTAGGTGAACAAGTACGAGGACATGTTGACGGATGTGCGGAGTCGGCTGGGTGGGGCTGAGGAGGAGGTGAGGCAGTTGGGGACAGAGAACGAGGAGTACAAGGGGAAAGTGCAGCAGCTGCAGATGGAGGTGAACACTCTGAAGGGCAACCACAAGGAGACCATGGCACAGCTGAACGAGAAGTCATCTCACAACTCCCAACTCAGAACAGACCTCAGCAGACTCACGCAGAACAATGAGAACCTCACCAACGAGGTAACCAACCACACTTTATTTTTGTGTCACATTCGCTCTTCTTAATTGGTTTTGTGTGTTTCAACATCGTCCAATCTCTTGTTTGTGAGATTGACTTTTTTAATTGGCCTGCTTTCATTGACGTTTTAGGTCTGCTTTGTTTAACAATTTGATGCTCGCTTCTCAAATTTTTTGGCAGATTTTTTTGTGTTTGGGCTTTAAAATTGACGTTTTGTTCCGACCACTAAAATTAGAGAGTAGCGTTGTGTTTGAGTGTTGTAGCTTTTTTTCAAGGCTTTATGAAGCACAACAGCGGTTCTCCGTGAAGAGCTAAACAGCTCGTAGGTTGTTCCTTGCCTTGTGGATAACTCCTCTTATCTTAAGTATGTGTTGCAGGTGCGGGCGAGTGAAGAGAAGTTGCGGGTGGTGAGGGGGGAGCTGAAGCAGACGCAGGAGCACTTCAGGGGGGTGCAGGACGAGTTAAGTGTGATGCAGCACCAGTTGGAGGAGAGCAACAACCGGGTGGGGGCTGCCAATGAGAAGCAGAGACACCTGACGGCCGAGTTGGGGGCGAGGGAGGAGGAGGTGGGGCAGTTGCGCCATGAACTGGCCACGCTGGAGGACAAACTGAGACACAAACACGACGAGGTAAAACATACCTTAATTCTCTCGCTCTGCCCATTATACCACACCAAACATTTTACTTCTCCGCATACTAGTCCTTTTAGTTATAATTGTTTCGAAATATAGTCTTTTTCCAAAAAAACTTGAAACTACGGTTTAATTGAGTAACAATCACTTTATTCTCTTATACCTGCTCCATATTAAAACAGAGACGAAGCTGCGCTTCGCAAACACTAGCAATAATACGACAAAAATAAGCTCTATAAAGTGCAATAAAAGCTAGAAAAAAACCTCAAATTAATAAAAATTCAGCCACGTCTCGGATTCGAACCTGCAAGGTTATGATTTTCACACACTAAACAATCAGCCACGGACTAGGTCGTGATGATTTATTTCGTTTTTCATGGAAGTTTAGGCCCAAATCAGGCTTGACTACTAATTTTTACTTCGTTAAAAGGAAGGCAAACGCCACTATTGAACATCAAAAGTGTAAAGTCACAAAAACATGATCGACTTCTAGCGTCGAAAGTGGCATTTAATTTTTAGATTTCCCGGATGAATAAAATTTTCACCTACTGATCTAGTTTTCTCAAATTGAATTAATTTATCATAAAAGTGTCAATCGTAATATGTTGTTGAAATTCAAAGAGCTGTAAAGCCGTATATTTTTTTACTTTGAACTTCTTAAGTTGGAGCTTTTTCAGTCAACAAGTCAGTTTTTCTTTTGTTTCCTTGCGTTAATCGAGTTGTTTCCAGCTGTCTGTTGGCTATGTTTTGATACTGCACTGGCTTATTTGGGTTTACTTTTATGTTATTTTTATATCGCTTTTGGGCTTATTTTTAGATACCTGCACTCTTTATTCTTTTAGTGATACTATAACAGCAGAAGGATGAACTGTCTTGTTAATACCCTATGCTTTGACGTTTTATACTTCATCAAATGAACCGAAGAAGCTATTTGTTCCATACAACAGTAGAATTGTAAAAAAATCTATTTCAGAAATAACTGTTTGCAAAATTTATGCATAACTTATACACACTAGCTTCATAATTTCCAGTGAATTACATGCAAAGTTAGTGTTGTTGCCTCTAGTTTACATTTAAAATGTTACATACAAAATTATTATGAATTTTTAAGCTTCCTTTTCAAAACTCGATCCCTTAAGCTTCCTTTGGTTTTTGTTTTCTTTCTCTTTTTTGACCCTTTTTGATGCTATTTCTCGGCGTTTTTTTTGCTTGTTTACGAAGTGCAGCTTCGCTTCTGTGACAAATATCATCCTTGTAGTTTTTACTTTAATTCATTCAGATAGATAGTACAAATGATGAACAGTAAAATTCGATTTTCTCGGATATCAGTTTTTTTTACAAGCGTAGTTTTTTGCTATGAAAAAACTTTTTCCCAACCCAAATTGCCAGTAAAAGTGCTGATTTGGTAGCACATTTGGTATAATTTGAAGCATTGGCAATTGAATACCATCTGTAGCTGCTCTATTGGTGGCTAGTGTTAGTTTTGTTTCAAGCGACCGCGGTGCATACGCGTGTGATACTCCTAATAGACAGGTCGGAGACTCAATGCAGGCACTTTGAATAAAATTAACTTTAATTTGGAGGAATTTTTGCTGCATAGCATTGGCAATTTGATAGCAACTGTTGTTGCTTTATTGTTAGCTGATTTTATGTATTTTTCAAGCGCTCTTTGCTCAGATGCGAGGACTTGAGACTCCTAGTCTCCAGATCGGAAGTTCAATTCCGGAATTCATTTTGAAAAAAGTTGTCAAGGCTTTTTTACCTTTATTTTTTGCTTATTTCACTTCTTTGCCTTTTTGAATTATTTTTGTCGTTTTCTCGCTTTTGTTTGCAAAGGGCAGCTTTGCCTCTGTGTTTCAATTTATTAGACAATCGAGCTTGCGAGCAGTATGTTTTATGTACACTTGCAAGCAGAGTGTAATAGTACGACTATTCACGATGTAAGATATGAAGACGAAATTTGTTCACAATAGTTACTTTATTCGCCACGCTAAATTCCATTACATTATGACAAGGTAAAATTAATTTTCAAAACTGAAATGCAAATGGGGGGACGGTGGGAAAGAGCGAATTTCCATTTCAGAAGTTTTCCGGCACAATATATCTGGCATTTTTGCCATGTATTTTTTTTGATATTTTGCATATTTTATTCATAGTTTTTCTTCATGCTTTCCAATTTATTAGCATATTTTATTCACAGTTTGGCTTCATTATTTTCATTCTTTCCAATTTATTGCACGCGAAGTAAGTGTGGAAGCCTTCAGTTTAGTATATTTACACTTGCGAAAGCAAGTGTTTTATAATCGGGAATCTTAACCAGGAGGTAATGCCGTCGTCGTTGCACCCTAAAGTCTGGGGTTCGGGTTCCTGCTGGACCTTGCTTTTTTTTTTAGTTCAAATGAAAGATTATTTTTCCGGTAGAATTTGATTTTATCGGACTTTCCTTGGACTGCTAAAGTTTTGTCGGCTTAGTTGCCACATCCATGGTTTTTCTTGTCCTTGTTCATTGTAGTTTCAGGGGTCTACAGCCTTCGAATTAGTCTTCGAATATGTTTGACCCATTTTTTGATTTAAAGACTATCATATCTTATCTGAGATAAAGGATTCCGTAGAAAGAATTTGTTGCAATTTTTTTTCCTAAAGAAGCGGCAACTCCTTACTTTTTGAAAGAAATGTTACTTTTCTAAAGGGAAATTGCAATATCTCAAAATTTTTTCACTCTTACTTAGTTAAGTAGAGAAACAACTAAGGTTGTGGTCAAATTCCCATTTTTTAAATAACTAAATTCGAAAAGTATCAACCACGTTCATCAAGCTTTAGCTGGGCCACTAATTATATTTTATCAGACATGCAAAAGTTTTGTTTCACCGTTTTCTGCTTTTTAAATTTTTTTCAACTTATGTGTTTTACTGTTTGTGATTGATAGCAATTGGTGCGAGCTTTGCTTCGCCTTTGTCCGAATTCTTTCATGAAACGTTTGTCTTTTTTATCTGGTGCCACTTTTGCTGTCGAGCATTGGTAATTTCTTCGCATATTTAGCTGCATTATTTGTGGCTAGTGTAAGTAAATTGTCGAGGGCCCGTGGCACAGATGCGAGGACAGGGACTCTAAGTATCCTGCTTGTAGGATCGAATCCGCCAAAGCATAATATTAATTTTCAAGGCTTGTTTTCACTTTTTCTTTTTTATAGAGCTGATTTTTTGTCTTCTCGCTAGTGTTTGCGAAGCGCATGTTCGACTGTGTAGGCAGTTTATTTTCTACTCAACTAGAAAATAAAAGTTGCGTATTTTTGTCCTTCTTTTAAGTTAAGAGCGGACGGAACATTCTGTGCTTTTTGTACCGCAACCGGCTATCCTTGTTCGTTTATTATGGTTTTCTGAGTTGAAAGTAGTGTGTTGTTTGCAGAACAACCGACTGTCGGCCGAGGTGCAGAGTTTGGAGTCGAAGCTGGAGGCGAGCAGGGGCGAGATAGGGGCCATGCGGATGTCTCTGGACGAGGCCAGGGCCAACTCGGACAGACTGCACCGGGAGAGCGAACTGGTGGTGGCCAATGTGAACAAGTGGGTTCAGGAGCAGAAGTGAGTACCAGACAACTAAACTTACTCCACATACCACTATCCTAAGCAGTAAAGCACTTGACATATAATAGAACACATGATCCCCCAAATTCATGTAGTTTCATGGTGTGCCTCAATAATTGTTTTGGATTCTTTAAGTTCGTTTAGTTTTACAGTTAAGACCTGTTTTGATTTGTAGCGAACAAATTGTCTCAATAGGCTAAAGCATAGTAAACACAGTTCATCCTTCTCCAGCTGTGTGTTTACCTGGTTATTATCAGTTGTGATTGTGGTTTAGACAAGCGAACGAGAAGCTGGCCAGTAAGATTAGGGAGCAGAGTCGGGCTCTGGTGGCACTGAGTGCTGAGAAGGAGCACGTGGGCCAGCAGGCGGAGAGGTATCAGAGGAACTACGAGGCAGCTGCCGCAGAGCTGGAAGACAGACGACTGGAACTGGCCAAATACAAGGAGTTGCAGACACAGTCCACACAACAACAGGTCAGACTCAAGGACTATTTTTTAAAAGCGCCATTTTGCCTTATTTTACTATATTCATTTTAGGCTTACCGACACTGAAATTTTTCTGAGCGCGTTTATGGAGCCAATATATGCTAATTTTTAAGAGGGAGCGCGCGCAAATAAAAAACAATTTTCAAAAAGACGAAAGGAAAAAATCTATCCCATTTTCAACTAAGTCTTTAGAGTCAAAATAGGCGTGCACTATTTTAGAACAATCTTTTATACAAGAAATTAGAAAGACAGGAACAAAAATGAGCAAACAGGAAAAGAAAAAAAAATTGATTATTATGATTTTATTACCTGCATTATTTTGATACCTTATCGACAACATGTTCTTTCATGGCAATAATGTGTCTATTTTAATCATTTAATTTTCTGCAGTTAAAAACTCCTTTTCTACCATTTAAAAAATCTTCAGAGTTCACTTTCGAATATATATATAAAAATTTTTTATTATGATTTTTATTAAGTGTTAATAATCAATAAGAGTAGACTTTAGAGGACCTGGCGCTCCCGTTGTCCATCCTCTCTGAGTCTCATTAGTTGAATTAATATAATATTTAAATTAAAATGCTCTTAATGAAAAAATGTGGACTTGAGAAATCAATTCTTTCTTTCTTTCTAGCATGTGTAGTATGTTATGTGTAGGTGATGTTGGAGCAGATGAAGGTGCGTCTGGAGGACCACGAGAGTGAGCAGGCGGAGGAGCTGCAGGAGAAGACTGGGGTGATCGAGGACCTGCACGCACGCCTGAAGAGCAACATGTCCACCATACAACAACTCAACCAGCAGGTTAACACTACTGCACTCAATAGTATCTTTAGTATCTCCATTCAACCCACCACATTTATCAAATGGCTGCCGATGATCGTGTTGATGTTTATGTGGTTTTAGTTAAACAGTCTGAACAAGGAGAATCTTCGGCTGAAGAGTGGACTGGACAAGGAGTTGAGTGAGAAGCACATGCTGCAGTACCAGCTGGAGACCAAAGCCACAGCTGTGAGTGAGCTGAGACAGCAGCTGGACCAGCTCAAACTCACACACCTCTACCCAGAGTCACAGCCACACTCACGCTCACAACACCAAAACAACAATAGGGCATCCAAGAACAACAACACAAAGGTAACTGCATATCTCATCGTGATGCCACAAAATTCCTATCCTCATCCTTAACTACGCTAAAAGATAAAATCACGAGCCTCGTTGTTTTATATATTGAGTGTGGTGATATGTTACAATAGGTGGTAATTTTGAGTATAGTGCATGTATAAATTTCAGAACTATAATGGATAATACAGTCATTTCATTCTCAAAACTTATTGTAAATACATGAATCTAATAAATTAAATGTTAATCAAAAATTCAAAAAATTTGGCTTTTAAATAAGTTATAAATAATATGAAACTCAATCACCAACTATTGTAGTGTATCACCTTGCGTGCATGGAAAGCAATATAGTGAAAGAATTAGCAGTTTATAACGGTGGACAAACTAAGGAATATTTTTTCTCCCTTCAAAGTTATTCAAACCAACATCCCAATCTGCTTGCTGTACACAGCATTTTAATGGAAACAATTGGAACAGCGGTTACGATAAATTCACGGAACTTGAAAAAATATTGAAAACTAATGCCAGAAACTCTGAAATTCTCGGAAAAGGTTATGGAAAATGTAAAATTCTATCATAAATAATCGAAAGAAAACAACAAATCTTATATAATAAATGAAAGTCGGAATGCGCTGAGGACGCAATGTTTAACTGAGCGCAATGTTTTAGCTTTGTCGAATGCAACGTTTAAAAAGTTCGCTAAGCTTCACATTTAAGAGAAAACCAAGAATTTTTTATCTCCTGAATAGCTTGCTTAGAGAAACTCAACTTTTCGCGAAGCGATTCGGTCTATGAAATAACTTAAGATTTTAAAGCGTACTTAGCTTCCTTAAAATACTATATTTTTAGCGAATAATTTCGATCTATGAAAGAACTTGAACTATTTCAAACTTTTTTGCTCGGATAAGAGAAACTTGAACTTTCCCGAACTGATTTGCTCTAAAATCATTTGCACTAATTAAACGTTTCATCAATTGAATGGCTTCAATATCAAATTTTAAGCATTTTGCTATGCGAATAGCCCCAATAGCTTGCTTAGAATCACATTTTTTGCAACCCATTTTGGTCCCAAAATAAGTTGAAAAATAACTTGCTTACAATAAGTTACAATTTTTGCCATCCCATTCGCTTCAGGAATTTATTTAAAATAATTCAAAGTTTCATATGTAAAAGTTTGCTTAGAGAAACTTAACTTCTTGTAATCTAATTAGCTCTATAAAATGACTTAAAATATTTCAAAGTATAATGGCTTGAAGGGCTTCAATCGAAAAACTTATAGATTTTGCAAAACGATTCGGTCTAAGAAACAACTTGAAGTTTTCCGAAAATACTTAGCTGCAATAGCTTGCTTAGAAAAACTTAAACGTTTCGCCATCCGGTTCGCTCTATGAATTAACTTGAAATGTTTCGAAGTTTTCGTCGAAAGAACAGCTTGCTCAGAAAAATTTCCACGAACTGTTTTTCTCCGTGATATGATTCGAATTATTTCAAAGTTTCCTAGCCCGAATAGCTTGCTTAGAAAGTCTTTAACTTATCGCAAACTGACATGGTCTAGCAAATAACTTGAAATATTTTAAGATGATTGCTTAAGCAACTAATTTTTTGTGAGCTGATTAATCATTTAGATTACTACGCTTGCCCAAAAGTTTAGTTTTTGATACTCAAAGATGACGAATTTAATTGGAGGTGTAGCAACTACCCATTTGGTCATGCGATAACTTCACTGTGCAGAAAGAAAAGCATTTTGATACGGAACATGAACTCAATATTTTGAGCTGGGAATCGGGCGAAATTCAACCCAGCGTAAGGGACAGTTACAATGCTGATTTAGTTTATTTTGGCCGCGGTGAAAGTTTGGCTGCGAATTTCGAACCAAAGGAAAACTTTAGCTGCAATTTTCGAACCCAAATTTCGAATCACAAATAGCACAGTGTTATTTCTTGGTGAACTTCTGGACAGTTTTTGTACTCTTCACTTTTTGTCCAATATTAACTCAATTTGGAAAAGAAGAACGCGTTTGAAGTTTCTTATGTTGTTCGGTTCATTTAAACCAGCACTGTATGTATGTTCCTTGAACGAGAAACAGTTTTGTTTATTGTTAACAGCCTATTAAATTCAAACTGACCGGAGTTTTGAACCAGTCAGTAAATGCAAGTTTTGACATAAGCAATAATCAACTGCTCATTGTGTAATCTGATATCCGCCTTGTTGTTTTCTTAGCAGCACGCGCTGTGCGGGGGTAGTATATGTAGTAGTTGCTACAACAGCAGCAGTGGCAACAGCCTCTCTCGCTTCTACTCTAACCTGCACCACGCCAGTGCCTCTTTCGAACTGTACAAGGTACCACATGCCACCCACCCTATCCCCATCCCCATTCTCCGCAGCCCCCAATCATCAGCTTTTCCCATGTAGACCTCATCCTATTCATTTCTAGGCACTTTTTTAAAGTATTTACGCCTGAATTATGTCTGAACACATCGGTCTTCAATCGGATCCTTATCTAGCCACTTCATGTTATAATTTCTGCACATGTATAAGCTGGAAAAGCCTCTCTCCTGTTTTTTTTGCAAGTTACTTATGTTTACTTTTTCATCCAAGGTCAGTGTTCAGTAGAAAATACTGCCACTCTTTTTGCTTGAGATGACTAGTTTTTTTCTGAATGAAAATTTCATGTTGTGGCTTTTTAGATGCGTTTTACTCTGTGTGCAATGCGCAAAAAACTTGAGTGTCTTTTCTCTGCGTGTTCTGCACTGTATGATATTTTTTGGCTTTCGTTAACGTCCAAAAATTTGATCCTGAAATATCTGAATTAAACTACAAATGCTCATTTAGCAAAAATATCAAAGAAGTGAGTGGGTAAAAGTTTGAGTGATGATGAAGATGTGTATTGTGTAGAGTACAGTGAGTAAGGAGCTGGAGAAGGCGGGCGTGGGGGACCAGGGGGATCTGGACAAGAGCTACTGGATCGCCAGAGTGGGGGAGGTAAGCAGCAGAGATATACTGTAGACACAGATAACTTATCAAATTAGGCGTCTTTCAACCCTCGTTGGGACTTGGATGTCTTGAAATTTTTGAACCTATGTTCAGTGTCGGGTAATTGGTCAGCTCAGAATCTTTGATTGAATGGTTGGTGGTTATTCACTAACATTTACCCAAGCTAAACTGAAACCAGCTAAACCAATACATATTATTTAACTGGAAAAACAGATTCTCGTAAATTTCCTAATTGTTTTTGGCAACTGGTAAATCAAAATAACTATCAATGAGAATATTTGGTGGCTGACCAACATTGAGGATGATTGTATCTCTGCAAGAATGTATGAAGTGGGTAGAATGAGTGTTGTGTGTTTAGTTGTCAGTTCAGCTGCAGCAGTCGACGGAGTACTGGAAGAACAAAGTGAGAGATGCTCAGATGCAGGCCACAGTCCCAGACAGCCACAAGTCAGCCAACAGACAACAACAACATCAGACACACCATACAGGCCACCATAAGGACTACTAGAACAGTCTTCTTCTAGTCTATTCCCCCTCATCACAAGAACATCAGACAACCAACCAACAAACCAGCCAGACACCTTAGCCAACTGGACCATATAAAACAGCCATCAATCAGTCCAACACAAACTGTGACCTCATCCTTTTTTTGTAATTTTCTATTCTAATCTGCCGTCTTTCTGTAAATTTGAATCAAATTCTTCGGTTTCTTCCTATTGATAGATTTGTTTTGTAAATAGACTGTAAATTGTACAGCGCCTTTATTGCCACAATGTCTGAAAGAGTAATACATTCTTGATATCAATTTCATTCTCATTGTTAGCATAAATCGAGTTGTCACTCAACTAGACCAGGCTGCTCGTAACTGGGCGACGCCCTTTAAAAGCGAGTCCACCTGCCCTTTAAATTCTATGGAGTAGTGTTCAGTTTTCAATAAAACTATGATATATACTCCAGCAAAGCGTAGTGTTTTATTACGAAGAATTTTTTCAACCTAAGTCGCAATTCAATGTGCTCTTTTGGTGACATTTTTGATATATTTCAATTTAATCATATTTCAGCCTATTTAAGCATAGAAAATTTAGAAGCGTATTTTGTTGCTTTTTTGGCTAGTGTTAGGTCCTGTTTGAAAAAGTTATTATGAAAATATAAGTGAATTGTTAGTTTTTTTGCCACGCTTTGGAAAAATTTTTGAGGAATAAATTCTCAAAAACTACTGAACAGTCTTTCAAAAATTGTACCAATAGACAAACCTGCTGCTCTTCTATGTGCCTGCATGTTTCGCTAGTCTCTTTTTGATTTACCCCACGTTCTACGGCCTTCGAAAGTTTCAGTAGGAGATTTTTGACATATTTGTTTTGATTTTTTTTTCATTTTCTCAAATATTAAATGGACAAATCTGAAACGAAGGTTTCATTCAAAGAACAAATTATAGGGATTTCTCCCTTTTAAGCGTTTAATTGGTAGAAAAAAGTTATGGCGTCAAAAAAGCCAAATTTTTGACATTTAATTCTTGAAATTTGTCTCAAACTATCCTGTTAAACCGAAGACAGTGTTTAACCCAAAGAAAAAACAGTTGTGTGAATCTTTCAAGTCCAAGCGGCTATGCCCTGCGTTTTGAAAAAAAATACGGCCTTAGAAAATGTCCAAATTCTGAAACTTTGCCATTTTTTTGGAAACTTTTTTCTTCAAAAACTAACCTGCTGATTTTAAGGATGATAAAGCATGGTGCTCAGAATTCCCCGCATAATCTGTTTTTCCTTTTTTTTGTAAAAAAGCCAATATGAGCTTCGGGTTATCGAAGTTTTTATGGTTCTTTTTGCAAGTCAGGCTCTTTTTATTTTCGCCCAATCTTCAAATTTTCATAAGTTATCCGAATGTTACAAAAATTGACATGCGTTCTAATTAGACCCTGAGAAACATATTTGGTCTTCATGTTTAATCTTGTAAAACCCCTCGCTACACCAAAAAATTCATGCTATTGTGAGGTGGGGGGAAGGGGGTTGGAAGGAAAAAGAGCCTCAAGTATTTTTTCTATTCTCCGTATATGCAACATAATCTGAAACTATGTTTAAAAAACACAAGTTAGAGAACTTGTTTTTCCAAAGAAAACTCTAGATAGTTACCAACCAGTCATTTTCACTAAAAATTCTCAATTCGCATTATAACAAGTTTTTTACTGAAGTTTTTGATTCTGTCGTGGTTGGGCAGAATCAAAAACTTACAACAATTGTTTCACTAATCTATAAGTTTGACTATAAATGTCAGATCTTGAATTGATGTCTGATTTTGTTATAATGCTAGTTGGAATTTTTAATAGAAGTCAGTGATTGGTAGAGCAGCTCGAATATATTCGCTCGTGCACAGATAAAGACTAATTGTGGCGATCTGGGGAATGGTGACGTCAATTGTACAATTGTGTGTTGGAACATTTGAATTAAATCGTTCGCATTTAAGTGCTTTATATTATCGCAGACGCATAGTCGGAGAATGCGGAGCGTCATTTTGAGGTCTCATTAAAAAAACAATTATCGCCTTAAAAGTTGTCTTAACGGCAGGTTCATTTCTAACCCCACCCCCTCTCCCATTCTTCATAAAATTTTCCGAGGATATGCTAATTTTTGTTTTAAGTTCAATATTTATCTCGTTGTAACATTGGCTCACTTTAGCCAATATTGATGCTTAAGAAGCAAAGGAAGCTGTCAGATCGATTGAAATGGCGACATAAATTAATATACCCAGTGACAACGGCAGGCGTGGCAACAGCGAGACCATAAGCTTAATAAAAAATTAGTTGGAAATTGATGAATTACATAAACAGTTAAACATAGCCAAATGACAATTGGAAAAAAGTCAATGAACGCGAAGAAACAAAAAAAAACATTTACAATTTTTTCAAAAAAAATCAAACTTGTAATTTTTAAGAGGAAAAAAAATGGCCTTAAAGCTCTTTGAACTTCTAGAAAACTTATGATTGACAGTTTTTTGATAAATTAACCCAATTTGAGACAATGGCTCTTTTTCGTTTTCCCCCCACCTCACACGAGCTTCAATATATTAGTGTAACGAGTGGTTTTACGAGGTTGAGTATCAAGACCAAATATGTTTTTCGTGGCCTTATTAGTCTGTATGTAAATTTTCATAACAATTGAACAATGTGGTCATTAATTTTACATGTAAAAATTTGCATGTGGGGGGGGGGGGGAGGAAAAATGGCGATTTTGTCACGTTCAAAAATGGCGATTTTTGTCACGGCCTTTTCACGTTCAAAAATGGCGATTTTGTCTTTTTTTCAACAAAGGAAAAGAATTGAACTGAAAAAGAAATCAAAAGTCAAACCGCGAAAATCAAAATTGAGCTTGAACAAACTTAAACTTTTTTCCTGAAAAGAAACCATCACGACTTAAATTAGATTCTAAACAACGTTTATCGACTCTTGAAAATAAAGCTTGATGTAATTTTCCCTATATGTTAAAATTGATTTTATTCTCAGGTTTGAACTCTTGCGCCTTCCAGGTTTTACCAAGATTGACACTTTTTTCTTAAAACTAACTTATATGGAGAAAACTGGGACAATAGAAACCCAATTAACACCCACTTTCATGGAAACCCATGGAAACCCAATAAACATCCACTTTCAAACCAAAAAAAAATCACAAAAATTGTGCTATTTGCATATTTGTAATTAGAGAGCCTTTCAAAATTAGTGTCTATGTGTTGTCGTATCTCTCTCTCTCTCTCCTCTCTTTTTCTCTCTCTCTCTCTCTCTGTGTGTGTTTCTCTGTCTCTCTCTATATCTCTCTCGCTCGGGATAAAAGTCTTTGCCTCGGTCAGGACTCAACGTATCTAGAACGAACGCCACAAAAACGGGACTGGGAACCTAATGTTTATTTTTTAGCCAATGTGTGTGTAATCCGTTTCAGGTGGATCGAAAAAGAACTCACGTCATCTTAACAACATAATCAAATAAAACGTTCTCAAATAATTAAATGTAGGAATTCAAGACAAATTAACAAGTTTAGAATCAAATCCAGAAAAATAACTTATCTACATGTAATTGAGTGAATTGATTAGTTTATCAAATTTTCAAATTTTGTTAATTTTGTTACAGAGTTTCTGAAAGTGTTTTGTGGGCAAATTTAGGCCAAGGGAAAAGGGTCTTAAACCTGAAGTTCCCATCTTTGCTTAATTGCAACTTAGAGTGAGCATGCATTTTTTTCAGCTTCTCGGGCGTAATTTTAAATTTTCAGTTTCTCAGGCAAAACTAAGCATGAAAGACTCAATTTGAACTTTCGATGTTTTTAACTTGATGGCTATATCCTACGTTGCGAAGTTAGTCTTTTATTTCTGGTCATTTCCGGCTATGATTAAGTAGGTAGCTTTCAATGGCTATGTGGAATTGTTTTCATGTCCCATGTTGCCGACATCACCATCTGATCCACCAGTCACTGATTAAATTTTAGATAAAAAGAAGTTTGACAATTTTTGTAACAATCGCAAAAAAAAACATTTTTAAAGAGATGAACAAAAGGAATGATGTTCAAGATGGGTTATACGCAAGGTTGAGAGGATAAATTGGCCTTTTATGCATCACATCAAATTCTCATGAAAGAATATGAGAAGGTTCTGGCTATGGACATCCATGTAAAAGGTTGATATCTTAGAGGACGAGAACAGAAAGCGCTCAAAACGCAAAATAAGGGTGATTTTTAAAACAAAGACAAGGGAAAGTGAGGTTGTTTGAATTAGTATCATAAACAATGTGGCCGGATCTCGAATGAGGAGTAAAATGAAAATCAAAAATGATTTGGTTCTCAAAATAGGGCAAAGAAAGGCGTGAATGTGATTAAACTATAATAACAAGTCTGAAGCTTTTCGTACGATATGTAGATGATTTTTTGAGTGCAGCAAAATGCAATCTCTACGCGGTAATGCAAACCGTCATTAAATTGCAACATAAACTACATTTGAAAGTTCAAACAACGATCGAGAACGGTGACTTGATCTGTTTAGTTTTTCTTATATATGTAGATGGCATCAAAAACCAATGCATACAGGCACGCTTCTAAACTGTACGAAAGAAACATTATAGAGGGTAAGGCGCTCAAAGCTTAAGGTGCACATCTACATCTGAACTTTAACATAAAGCAAGGTTGATCAATAGAAAGCAATGGAAGGAATTTCAGTACCCAGAAGATTGGTCATCTAAAGTTGAGACTGGAACACTATAGAAGATTTTGGGGTCGAAAAGTTCCACATAAGATAGAAACTCTGGGGAAAAAGTGACAAGCGAGACAACAAACAACCAACGATCAAGCCTCAAATCTATAATACAAGAACCAATTGTTGCCAAACAAGGTGCGCAGCATCACCAATGCACCAATTGTGTTTACGAAGGAAAACGAACACCGCTATTCCCTCCCTTAGTTCGTCATTTTCAAGTTAGTTTGAAAATCATTATGGACTACAAATTGCCTTGTGGTGAGTTTTATTCCACGTATATTGTACAGACTGTTCTATATCTAGCCTCAAAGATTGAAGATCACGACAAAAAAACACCACTTATCATACGCAAATGGCAGTGTGGAGAGGATGCAATGCAGTGTGGAGAGTCATTTTGGGAGATCATAAACCAGTCGAACACATTATCATACTTCCTAACATTGAAAGCGGTGCATAAAGGATAACTGGCTTGGGATCAACACAAGAAAGAAGTTCTGCAGTAGAGGTCAATCAAAAAATTTTTAAATTCGAAAAAAACAATAAGAAAAGGTTAAGTAACATAAAAAAACCCAGAAGTTTTTA